AAAGGTGTTTGGGATGTTGTTGTTAATGGTCATTTTCAACCAATCAAGGTTAAAGATGATATAACAATTGTCAAAAATTTTAATGAATGGACTCCTGATGAAAATAAAAAAGCTCACTATGATGTTAGAGTTAGGAATAGTATTTCTTTTGCACTAACACTTGATGAATTCTATAGAATTTCTATGTGTGAAACAACCAAAGAAATGTGGAGTGTTCTTGAAGTCACCAATGAAGAAACTGAAGAGGTAAAGAGAACAAGAAAGAATACTCTCATTCAAGAATATGAAATGTTCAGAATGAAGACTCGAGAAAACATTTATGATGTTCAGAAAAGATTTACTCATATTGTAAATCATTGAATGACTCTTAAGAAGATCTTTGACAAATAAGAGTTGAATATCAAGATTTTAAAGAGTTTAGGAAGAAGTTGACAACCTAAGGTAATTGCTATTTCAGAATCAAAATATCTCACAATGATAAATATGACTACATTGTTGGAAAATTAAGGGAACATGAGTTGAAATTGGGAAGACTTATCAAAGAAGAAGAAACATTGTTGCATTGAAAGATACTTCAAAAAAGAGTGATCTCATTCAAGAAAATGAAGAAGAAGATTCTGATAACGAAAACTTGAATCTATTAGTAAAAAGGTTTTCTAAATTTTTGAAATACAAAAATAAATCTGCTAACAAATTTGCTGTCAAACCTTTCAAGAAACAGGAACAAGGAAATGTCCCTACATGCTATGAATGTGGAAAATCTATACACATCAAACCAGATTGTGCAATCTTCAAAATGAAGCAGAAACTGAAAGAAAGAAAGGAAACCAAGAATTAAAAAAAAAAAAGGCATACATTGTTTTGGAAGATAATGCCTCAAACACTTCCAATGAGTCAAACAGAAACTCAAATGAACAAGCAAATCTTTGTTCAATGGTAAATACAGAGACATCAAATAAATTCAATGTAAGTACCGCTGCATCTAATGATAAAAATAGTTATTATCAATTGCTAGATGCTTTTAATGAAATGCACGATGAAGCTAAAAGATTAACATATTTTAATAATAGGTTTAAAGGTGAAAATAAATGGCTAGAAAATAGGTTAAAAAAACTTGAGAATGAGAATGAGAATCTAAAAATAGAATTAGAAAAAAAAATAGTAAGAATTTTGTGGATAAATGTGATAACTGCAATAATCATTTGGAAAGAATAAAGTATCTTACAAAATCACTTTCAAAATTTACACTAGGAAAAACTAACTAGATGCACTTTAAACAGAGAAGGAATTGGATATAATCGTTTAGATAGGTCCAAAAATTTTATGAAATTAAGCAAATCACCATCTATAATATGTTTCTATTGTTCTGAGATTGGTCATACATCTAAAACCTTCTATTTTAAAATTTATGGTGTTCCAAGAGGAAAATACAAGTGGTTATCTAAAGATGTACTGCATGTAACTAATATAGGACCCAAACTTGATTGGGTACCTAAATAAACCTTATAATCTGTTTTGCAGGAAAATCTGGGCACCAAAAATTCAATGTGGTATTTGGATAGTGGATGCTCCAAACATATAACAGGTGATTTAAAGAAATTCAAACATATCACTCTAAAAGAAAAAAATATGTTACATATGGAGATAACAATAAAGGTAAAATTATTGGAATAGGTAAGATATATAATAATTTTTCCTTGATAATTGAAAATGTAGTGTTAGTAGAAAGATTAAAACATAATCTGTTAAGTATTAGTCTATTATGTGATAAAGAGTTGAAAGTAATTTTTGAAGCAAATCACTGCATCATATGTGACTTTGCATCAAACAAAGTTATTTTCATTGGAAAAAAATACAAAATATATATTTGATTGATTTTGAATGCACTTCCTTTGAAGCCGATATGTGTTTGATAACAAAAGAAGATGAATCTTGATTATGACATAAAATGTTAGCTCATATATATATATATATATATATATATATATATATATATATATATGTCTCACCTAAATAAATTGAATTCAAACGAATTAGTAATTAGTCTCGCCAAAAATCAAGTTTGAAAAAAATAGAATTTATGATACATGTAAAAAAGTTAAACAGATTAAAACTACCTTTAAATCAAAACTGTATGTTTAAACATGTAAACCGTTAGAACTAATACACATAGATTTGTTTGGACCCTCTAGGACTAGAAGCTTTCGTGGAAACTATTATGCATTAGTCTTAGTTGATGATTTTTTTTTATTCCCTTGGACAATGTTCTACCCTCTAAAAGTGATACTTTCAAAGTTTTTAGGAAGTTTGCTATTGCCATTCAAAATAAAGAAAATCAAAACCTTAAGAAGTGATCATTAAACTTATATTTGATAAAATAAAATAAAAATAAATTATTTTTCATTTGATTAAAATTAATTATGTAAAGTTTTTTTAATTAAAAAAAAGGTACGAGTTAATTTTAATATATATATAAAAAAGTATTTGTAGGATAATTCTTATGGAGATACTTCTTAAAACAATGTCAAATAATTTTATAATGAAATTTTAATATTTTTACCAAACTTACTTATCTAGCTGTCTAATTTAACCTTTTATTGTTGGGCTGTCATTCATATATTGAAGTTTGTCTATTGAACATGACTTTGACTATTTGATTAAAAAAGTTGATGGGTTGTGTTTCAAGTCTTTTGGTCTTTGTTTAATGTTTGGTAATATTTTTGTCCACAAGTGTTAAAGTTATATTAATTAGATTTTGAAGATCAAAAAAAGAGATTTTGAGAAAAAGTTAGGGTTAAGAAGATAGAGATTAGAGAATAGGAAAATATGTTACAAATAAAACAATAAAATTAAAATGTTTTGAATTAGTTGGTGAGTTATTTTTGTATTTTGCAATCCATTATTATGGAAATTTTATATATATTATTTACATTCAATGTTTTGTGTACGAAGGGTTATTGGTAAAAAGAAAATTTACAGAAATTTAAATAAAATATTTTCACCACAAATTTATTTTTTTAAAAATAAAAAATGTCTTTCATGAAAACAAAAATGTTCAAATTAGATAAAACCTTTTTCTTCTGAAAATTTAATGTTATTATATAAAATAACTTTAATGAATATCTATTATGAAACTCAGTATAACTATTTAACATGTTTTAAAATTATTATTAATAATTTTAATTATATACTTCTTTTTTATTCGTATTTTCAATCTTTCATATAATTTGCCGTTTTCATCCCTTACGTTTTTTCTCTTTTAACTCTTAAAACAACGTGAGATTTATATAAATATATAAATAATGTAAAATTAACTCGTATATAAAACAATTTTCATTAGTTCTATCTTAATTAATAATATTACTTAAAAATATATTTTAATTAATTAAGATGTTTAGTTATTCAATAATGGAAATAGGTGAGAAAGAAAAATAAAATATTTTACATACAATTTAATTAGCTTAAAGAAAATAACAAGAAATATAAAAATATAAAAAAATACAATACAATGCAAATTTTTTTTCATATTCTGTCTTAACCAAACAAATAAAATTAACTTTTTTTTTTTTTTACAATTTTTGTTTAAGATCTTGAAAATTACATGTTATTAATTTGTATGATTGTTGGATGAGACATTAGACTTAGACATATGCAAAATTTCAAAGACCACCCAGGTTAGGCACATGCAATGACGCCAAAAGTCTTCGATCGTTAACATTGAAGAATCCTTCCAAACATCCATAATTTATTTTAGGTCATGTCTTACTTTGTGTTTTGACATTTAAAATAATAATTTTTTTTTTCATTTCATTATGTTATTATTTTTAATATTAATTTAATATATTTTTCAAAATATAATAAAAATTTCAATTTTCATACTTTAAAAATTTCGTTGATTTATATTATTTTGGTGACATCGATTACACAATTATCCTTATTAAGTAACGATATGATTAGGGTAATATTATATTTTTTTTATATATAATTTAACAATTTTATTAGTATAGTATTTTTTATCCTTAAAAATCTAATTAATTCATTCGTTTAAAAACATTTTAAAATTATTCACAATATAACTTTTAAAATAGTTAAATAAAATTCAACAACCTTATTGTATAGTGGGTTGTGATGGGACGAAAATATAACTTTCAATATTTAGTTTTTTTTTTGTCGAAAATAAAAAAATTAATTATATTTTAACCATAAATTTTTAAAAACTACAACAATTTTGTTCCGAGAAGACCTACATACATGGACTGATGAACATTCGAGCCCAAAAAGATAGTAATAGAAATTGGGCCATTCTAACCACCAAAACCCACGTCAAGCCCAAGTTATTAAAAATAAATAAATACAAATTTCATATAAAAAAAGATTTGGACTCTTAAATGTTAAAATATAATAATAACTATTACAAAATAAAATAAAGTAAATTATGATTATAATTAATTTTAGATTTTGTTAAAATATATCATATTTTTAAATGATTAATCTGTAACCTGTATATTATTTCTCTATTATAGATTTAGAGTCTTGTTTGAATAAGTGTTTATTTATTTTCAGCAATTTTATCCTTAAAAGTGTGTTATGTCCTCAATAAATTAATAAAATAAAATTTATATAAATATCTGGACTTTTATTCTGATCAATCAATAAATTCTTATAATCCAACGTATTTTTAACAAAAGTTACGTAAAAATAGAAAAGTAACATAATTAAAAAAAAACATTACATTTTGTTTACAAAATTATATATTTTCTCATAATATTAATGTATATGTTATCTATGCAAATGACCACCAAGACAAACTTGAAACCTGTTACTCATGACTCATGCAAACCCCCAATGCAGCATATTACGCGCACGTGTCGCCACCTTAAAACACCACATTTCTATAAAACACCACCAACTTATCCTTCATTGTCCGTTACTCAAACCTCAATTCTCCCAAAAAATCGTATATAAAAAAAAAATATTCTTCTGCAAACTACCCTTTTTCAATGGATGAAGTTGGTTCACTACCCCACCATGGGCAAGTGCATGCAAACACAACACAGCATTACGACGGATTTAAACCCACCTCACAACACCGTCATCATCAAGGTGGCACCACCCCACATCGCGGCGGCGAAGGCGGCGTAATTATGAGCCTCATCCCGGAGACACCCCTCACGGGGACTCAACTCCTCCTGATCCTTGTCGGCCTCCCCTTTGGAGGCACGCTGCTTCTTTTAAGCAGTGTGTCGTTCATGGCCAGTCTTGGGGGACTGGCCGTCATTACGCCGCTCCTCATCCTGTTCAGCCCGGTGCTGGTCCCGGCTGCAGTAGTCATTGGACTGGCGGCGGCCGGAGTGCTGGTGGCTTGTGCATGTGGCCTGGTGGGGCTTGCGTCATTCTCATGGGTGGTGAGTTATGTCCAGCAGATGCTGATATCGTGCCGGACATCAGTGCTGCCGGAACATCTGGGCGCTGCGCGTGGCGGACATGGCGGGGTACGTGGGGCAGAATATTCAGACAAAGGCACACGAAGCGAAAAAAACACAAACGACACAATGAGTTCATGAGATGAGAAGATGCATGGTTTATTTATGAGATATATGTATATATCCTACTTTGTGTGTGTATTTGTCTAAGCCTGACGCTAATAGGTGTGTGTTGTGGGAATTAACTAAGTAAAATATGTGTAGATGTAATTAATGTTTGGTGTTACGGTTACATTTTGTGTTTGTAGTTTGGGTTCTTGAGATAGTGATTTTGCTTTAGTTATTAATAAAGATAGTTTTTGATGAGATTGTTCTCACCCAACAAGGTAATTGGTGTTGGATTTTTTGAGTTGGAAGGGTTTAGATGGATAAAATGTAGTTTGAATAGTTTACTAAACTTGGTCACTATCCTTTGAGTCAGTTTAGGTTTTACTCTTTACCATGATTGTGATAACATGATTCTCATTCTCATCTTACAACATGAATGCCACATTATTACAACAATAATGTAATAATTATTAAAATGTTTCTTTATGTTGCATTTTTATCATTTTATAAAGTCATATAATATGAATTTTATAAAAGAAAAAATATTAATGGATAATTTTTTTTTCTTAAAAAACAACCCATTAACAACTTCATTTATTAATAAAATAATGGTTTTCAATTATTTTATTTTGATTGAATATTTTATATATATTATAATATTAATTAAAATGTGGTTATTTATAAAATATACCAAAATTATAATTATAAATATTTTTGTTATATGGTTGTTTGTAGTCTCAGTCCATTCTTCTTTTGCTGAATATGAAGTAAGAAGTGAGAGAGAGTCGGAGCAATGGAGTCTTATGATCCTCTTCTAGAGAAGACCCGAGTTCCCCAACCGGGGCTCCAAAAACTCGCAGTTGAATCCATTTTTTCAAAGCTTCGATCCGCGCCCAAGCACTTCGACCCGGAATCCGAGGCCGGAAGACGCGCCATTTCGCTCTGCCTCACATCGCCGTCTCCTCACGTCGTCGACTACTCCATCCGCCACCTCTGCCGCCTGGCCGCCGACTCAGTCGTCGCCGTCGCGCGTGCCTCGTTCGAGCTCCTGGCCGCGCTCGAAGGCTCCGACCCGAAGCTCGTGCCCGTGTTCGTCAAGGGATTGGGCTTCCTCGCTCGTCATGATTTCCGCAACAATGCCTCTTCAAACTTTGCTTCTTCCTCTCACAATCACCCGTTCATTAGGGTTAGTCACTCGCCACACTCAATGTGCAAATTACACCTTTATTCTCAATTACACTTTCGTGTTTATTCGTGAACTTTCGCATATACACTTCGAAGAAAAGAATATGCAAAAGAAAAATTCCACAAGTTGCATAAGTTGAACATAAACCCTTGGAGTAGAAAATACGAGAAAATTTGTAGAAGTTATTTTAGCGTAGATTTTGATTCATGAAGTTTTTTTTTTTTTTTCATTTTTTTTCCTTATAGAATTGCTTTAGGAGATGTTCATCCATACAGACGCATTGTGTGTGTTTGGATTCAAGTTAATCACGTGTTAAAATATCAGTTAACATGATTTTAGTTAAATTTTCACACATTTGGTTCCACCTTCGAATTGATTTTGAGTTGAAGTAACGTTTTTCTTTTGTGTTGGATAAAAAAAAATATAATACGATTTACTACAAATTTTCCTTTGTAATAAAATCATGAAAATTCAAAATCAATTTTGACCAAAATATTTTGCGAAATTAATTTCATCCAAACATACACTTGTTAGGCCGAAGAAGCTAAAAGATAGAAACTCGATTTGAGTTACTGAAATGAGTGTGCATACATATGAATTACATTGAGGAAATTCAGTGAGAAGAAAATTATGAAGTACATGGAGAAGGAGAGTGATACTTTCATTAACTATTTGATTTATGTGAATTATCGGTTAGATCGAAAAAGTTGCATTGCAATGAATCACTGTTATTGTGTGAAGACTGAAGAGTGTGTTAAAAGAAGTTTGTGCAAGCATGGTTATAACTTATAGTTGACGAAGGTGCAAAGCTAAAAACCCTGAGAATTTTGTATAACTTGGTGCGCAAGTTAACTTCTGTGCCAGGTTGCAAAGAAAGGGCTGTGACTGCGAATTTGCCCTCAATGACTGCATTTTCCTGCAATTTCTGACAATGTTAAGGATAACTAAGCAACGAGCACTGACTGCAACTGCTCATTGAAACCTTGCTCCTGAGTCTTGAATGAAGTATGATTTTTTATTTTTTTTTCAATGTTTGGCAGGTGTTGTTGTGTCGGCCAGAGGTTCAGTCTGAACTCCGGCAGCAGGTGTTGCTGTTTATGTTACAGAATAAGCAGGTGGGAATGGTGCCTGTTTGTGAGTTTTTAAGGCCGTTGTTGGATGTCTCAATCATAAAATTGTTAGTTTCCGAGTCATCCTCCTCCTTGTTTGCCACACAACTGGTATCGTCCATGGTGTCTTTCTGTTGCTCGTTTCCGCATGAGTCCTTGCCTGTTTTTAAGCTGCTAATTGAGTGCCTTAAGTATCTTCCGCATGAGGGCTCTGAAGTAAGTGTAATTATGAGAATAAGCATTGGATTTGTTGTCTTACATTATGTTATATAAGTGTGATGATAGGTGGAGTGAAATGCTGATCTTGATGCTGTTTTATTTTCGGACGTTCTCAGGACTACAGGAAATTAATATTTGTTGTAGAACATATGGTGGAGGCATATATAATTGTACTGAAATCTTTGGCTGGAAAGAAATTAGTATGTCCTTGTAATTTACACTTCTCAATTGCATTTATTGCTTTTATGATGTTTCCTACTTCAATGTAACTGATGCCTTGCTCTTGTATTGTTATTGATCCCTGTTAGCAGCTGATAACTGAAGCTCAACTGTGTGCTGTTGAATTTCTGGAAACAATTCTTTCTTTATCTACATGTCTTCAATGGCACCCTGGTGGTCTTGAACCTGTATGTGAACTCTTTATGCGCTTGTTAACTGTACAGAAAGATCTTGGATTACCATGGTTGCGGGGTTTGTCATCAACTATTGTATCATTATTCATAATCATTGTTCAATCAGACCTTGAACACGAACAAATTTCTATTCTGAAACTCCTTCTCTTGATCCTGAAGTGGAAATATGATAGTGGTATGTTTTCTATAGCTATCCTGATTTTGAGGTATATGCATACATTCAAGTTGAATGCACGTGAAAAGTGAATGATACTGTTTTATCTAAATTGCAACATGTTTTTTGTATTGTCCATTGATTCTGAGTCAATCTGTATTTTGCTCATATTTCATTATTTCATGGAAAAGAATTTTATGATTTTTTCAGGATACTGGTTTTGCATACTTTGTCTTTGTCTAGTTGCAAATAATTGTGTTTAGGAATTTAGGTGGTTGGTTGGTTAACTATTTATTTGGGGCTTAGGCTAAGTTTACATTATGCATACGACCTGTACTTGATTCCATTGAAACATTTCTTTTGGCTCCTGCCGTAAAATGCTCCTTGCTTGAGTTCATAAAATAACCCGTAATCATGTTCATTTTATACTGTCCTTAAGATTATCAATTTTTTATAGTTTATTTGTTGTAATAATTTATAGTTACCATGCAGATGCTGTTGTGAGCGGAACTAAAATCTCTTTATTTGAAGAGACTTTGTTTCTTCTTCCTATTCTTAGTCTCATGTCATCACCTTCCAAATCTGTAAAAGGATTGGCAAGTGATTTACTTCTTCTCTTGGAAAAGCTCCTTGTTAAGATGTTTGTGGGTCCAAAAGATAAATCAATCTTTGAGGAGAGAGTTAATTATCTTAGCACGCCAGGAATTATAGTTTTGAGACTTTTGCGACATCTTTGGTTTCAGGTATTTTGTCTGGCATATCATACCTTTTTCTGTTTAAAATTTTGTTTATATTATCTATGCAAATTATATATGCCTTTCGACAGAAGCATCTATATGCTGTTTAATCCTGAGTGCATATATGCGAACTCGCAATTTATGTAACTGGAAAAACGGCAGTAAAATAATGTATATGATAGCCATTTCTAGTTTTGTGCCCAGCAATAATAGACTTCTGGAATTTTTGTGTCTGTTTTTTAGGATGGGGATTCTTCTTCCAGAACTTCCCTTCTGAAGTTGGCTTTAAAGGGATTCAATCAAAGCGAAATAATGCATGATACGCCAGCATCTTGGGTTTCTCATTTAAGAGGGTTCTGTTTGTCAATTGTTGACCAGCGTAAATCTTTGTTACCGCTCTCACATTCTCAGGAAGTGTTTTTGAATGGTATAACCTATTAACTTTTCTGAAATGGAAATATAGTCGTGTTAAAGGATGCAAGAGTTTGATGTTATCTCAATGTCTTCCCTTGCAGAGATGCCCTTGTTACTCAGTGCCGTTCTCAATGTTTTATTGATACATCCATCAATGGGGGCTGCTTCTGTCGATTCTTTGTCTTCCATTGCCATCATGGATCCCAAACTGGGAGTTCCTTTGTTGCTAACAATTATGTTTTACAGTAATATATTCAGGAGAAATGATATCAATTGTCATGATATGTTGGTAACTTACCCCTTTTGTAATGGCACTTATTGCGTGACTTTCCTTGTCCTTTTGTCTCCCATCAGATGTAAAGTATTTCTTCCTCTCTTATTTTAAAATTGATGTTGCAGTTAAAAATTTTTGAAATGCTGCCATCACTCGCTTCACACTCGGCAATGACTCCACTTGTAGTTCAAACTATCTTGCCAATGCTCAACAAGGATGCAAAAGTGTGGGTACACTGCTAGATTGTGTAAATGTGTATTTTGTTTGCTTCTTTTTCAAAAAGAATTATTATTATTATTATTGTCTTTTAGTGCCCTGTTTTTGTGGTGATGATGTGTACTGGTGTACTGTCGGGGTCTCTCTTCTAGCATTCTTTCTAGCATTGAGTATAATATAAAAATGTGACCAAAGTATGTGAACTATGGGCTGCCTTCGTCTTTAGTTGGAAATGGAACATAATGACATCCAAAAGCCAATTTTGTGTGTAATTTCTGATTTTTCCTCTGTATATTTTTCAAGAGCCTGACTGGTTTTGAATATTATGTATCCCTTCTGTACTTGTGCTAGTAAATATAAAATAGTGTTCTTACAAATCTAGTGCTCCAGATATGGCTGTATAGCCTGATTGCTTTTCTTCCTCCTCTTCTTCATGTCATCAAGGAGGGGGATGTTTGGTTTTTAAGATAAGAAATTCATTGCGGTGCTTAAATGTCATCCTGGCCTTGAAACTAAATTTTGGCCCTTGTGGATTCTTCAAAATATTGAATATACATGCAATTTAGCTTTATATACTTCTCCACATGCAGTTCATTATATTCTACGGCAACTAGATTGCTTTGTCGAACCTGGGAGACTAATGATCGAGCCTTTGGGAGTTTGCAAGTGAGCTTTTCACTCCACTCTTTCTTGTATCTTCCACTGCTACAAATATTATTTTAGGTGGACGTACATGATTATTTGATGCTGAAGGGATGACTTAAAATTGTAATTGATAGAAGAAGTGTAATTGTGAACTCAATAAATTGAATTGTAATTGTTTATGAAAAGTTTTCTTATGTAAAGTTAAACACATTGAAGTGGTGCGAGTATTCCTTTCTATAACTCTACTATTTATGCCAGGAAATGGGTGATGCATTGGGGACAAAAGTTTTTTTTATAGAAAAATGAAGTAAATAACTTAGTTTCTAGGCTTCTTACATGGCTTTGATGATTAAAATCTGAGATAAAACCTGACACATCTATAAATGGTTAATCCAAACTCTGTTTTTGACTTGAAAATCTAGCTGCTAGAATAGAACCTATTTATTTGTTTGCTCTTAAATTTCTGTGCATTGTTCTAATTTTAAAAGTGCTTTTCTGTGGCAAAAGATGATGTCACACGTTTCTCATATTTTTGGGGAGGACATGTTCACCCTAGCAGAGCTCAAGCTTAGAGCCAAAGACTTTGATGCTAAATAAATAGTTTTTACACATAAAAACCACACTTTTTTCTGCACTGTGATATATATTCTTGTAAATCCATGCAAGGACACATCAAAAGATTTCTGCAAATTTATGTGCAATCTGACAGCTATTGTTTGTCCCTTTATCTTTCCAACCTTTGTCCACTCAACATATTTCTGACTCGGATTGAAATTCTAATTTTGCTTGAGTATATTACATTCCCTTGCCATGTCTTGAACATCCAACTATAGTAAATTTTTCCTATAATTTTTTCTTTTTACATTTCGCCTCTAGGGTGTTTTGCTCCCTAAAGGATTCACCCATTTCACTTCAGAGAGAGATATCTGCATCAGCATGGCTGCTTCCATTCGAGATGTTTGCCATAAAAGTCCTGATAGGGGTGTTGATCTCATCTTGTCTGTTTCGGTATGCCCTGCCTGTACTGTTTTCTGGATTCTCTTTTTGCAACGTGCATGCTTTGATGATAAACCACTGTTTGGTGTTGGAATAAACAGTCTTGCATTGAGAGCCAAGATTGTCTAATTAAAGCTCTCGGCTTGCAAAGCCTTGCCTTCCTTTGTGAAGCAGATGTGATTGGTAATATTTTTAATTATTCGTGGAATAATGCTATTCCAAGGGATAGTAATTTATGCATTTACAATAGTTCGATACTAGATCATGTTCAATTTATTTGTAAATGGGATTCTGATCAGATATATTGACTTCTTTAGATTTTTACACTGCATGGGATGTCATTGCAAAGCATGTGCAAGGTTACCAAGATGATCCTATTCTTGCTAATAGGTAAGCATGTTTAAGATTCCTGTGCAGACTCTTATATGTTGTCGACTTAGATTATAATAAAGATGTTGGTGAATTATAGAAAAAAAAATTAGAAGTTATATCCCAACTCCTCGAGTGACACTGACAACTTCAGACATTTTCATTCTTGGGGATCATGAGCTTTCTTAAACAAGATATTGCTTAGATATATATCTTCTTTCAGTTAATAAACTTTGATTCTGTGTAGTATTTTGATTGAGGCGTTTTTTCTCCATAAATTAATACATAATTTCCTAGTTATAAATTGCCATTCTATTTGTCTCATTAAAAGACATTTCCTGTATAATGGCAGCCTTTGCCTTCTGCTAAGGTGGGGTGCTATGGATGCAGAAGCATATTCAGAAGCATCCAAGAGTGTGCTGCCAATTATGTGGGATGTAGTTACCTCTGGTCAAGAGAGACAGTGGGCAAAAGCAAGAATTTCAGCCCTGGAGTCACTTTCCCAATATGAAGTATATCCATTGATGCAAATGTTGCTCTGCATGAGGGGACTGTTATTTTATTGAATAAAAAAGAATAATTTACACTTGTTCATTTAACATTGTTTTGTTACCACTTTCCAGGTGTCACAACTTGAAAGAAGTATTCCAGATTTGAAGAAAATGATTTTGGAGTTGTTTTTTTCTGAGACAAATCCTAATGTTCTCAAGGCTATGGAGGATTTTCATGTCAAGATAATAACATATGAGCACATGTAACCATTGCATCCTACAATTTACTTATATAGGATGGTTTAATATTAGTATGATTGAATTTGTTATTTTTTATATCCATTTGCTTTAGAAACCGCCGAAGACTAGTCAAGGAAAAAAGAGTTATAGGAAGCAAGATTGAAAAATTGATGAATGTATTTCCACAGGTTATATTCTCTTCAGGTATGATGGTATCAGCTTTGTATCTTGTGTTCTTTTCCCAAGAATTCTTCCAAGAAATTCAGATTTGATAGTTGAAAAAATAAAATAAAATACTTAAATTGAGTCCTCTATTGATGTACAACATTCCTTGTTAACTCTTTGTCACTTAATGCCAAAAAAAAATCAATTTATTTGGATTTAGACAAGATCTAAATGGAACTGGTTGGTTGTGTTTATGTTGACAGGACATGATTTCTCTCAGGTGATTTAGAAACTGAAATGGTTATTTAAATGGAGTGGTGGAAATTCTGTTACCAAATGCTCTTTTCAAACTCTGTCTGGTTTATAATGTATTGATTTTCTTGTGTTATTTGAATATGCCTTGATGTTAAAGCATTCTTTTTGAAGGAAATATAAATGAAGCTAGAGAATTACCTGGTGCCGCTTTAGTATGTTTTTCTTTCACTCCTAAAGATGTGAATGAACATCAAGCATCCGAAGTAAGATATTGACTGATTAGATATATTCTGATTAGTTTTGAATGAACTTTTGATCTGATATTATAAGTATTCAGAGGTTAAGAGATGTACATGCGGGGTATGAAAATGCTCTAGTGGAAGTAGCTGCTTCTCTTCAGCTCTCAAGAAATATCTTGCTTGCTCTGATGGCACTGCAATCATGGAAAAGCTTTGTACGACGTTGGATGAAGGCTTACACTCTTTCATATGATGCTAAGACAAAATTGACTGTCCTAGATAAAACTTCTAAAGCTGCTAGTGACATTTTAAAGGTAAAGTTTGGTCTTTTGTCATTAAAATCCATCCTTTTTATAAGTTATCTGTATCAAATGGACAAGTTTGTCATGTCTGATGTAGGTTGTTTTGTTACATGCTTTCTATGCAGAGTATGATGGCGATAGCGAATGAGGCTGTACCTAGAGCTGCTGAAAATATTGCACTGGCTATTGGTGCACTTTGTGTGGTGAGAAGGTTTTCTATGGTTATGCACTAATTTAAATTCTTTAAAGATTCTGATCAATTATCATCCGTGCCACATACTGGAAACTTAATGTATAAACTGTTTTGAAGATTATGGAACATGCAGTGAGTTAACTCTCTAATAGTCTAGTTAGTTATCTATCTTGTGTAATTATATGATCTTTGGCCTTTTCATTATCAGGTCTTGCCTCCATCTGTTCACACAGTTAAATCTGCTGCTTCAAAGTTCCTTTTGGAATGGTTGCTCCAGCATGAACATGAACACCGCCAATGGTCGGCTGCGATTTCTCTTGGATTAATCTCTAGTTGCCTTCATGTAACGGATCATAAGCAGAGATACTATAACATCACGGGACTTCTTGAGGTATTCTTGTTCTCTCTTTTTAATGAATGTCTATTGTCTATTATCTATTATCTATTTCTATTTAAAATAAAGTACTGAGGAAGGTAAGTTTGAATATTAAAGAAACTACAGCATTTTCTATGAATTTCTCTTGACATTTTAGAGGAAAAAAATTATGATTTCTGGAACTTTTCATGAGTTCACCATTTCCCCTTATATTTGGTGAATCAAACGTTTGTTTGGAGGTTGCAACATGTAACACAGGTTCCCAATTTTATTTGTAGTAGGATAGTTGAGTAGGAAATTAAAGAGTGCTATTATACACACGGAGGCTAAAATCAAAGATTTAAATGGATTATCCTGTCAATTTTATTAATTTTTTTCAATATGGTTTGCTCGAGAGGAACTTGTTGATAAGATTTTCTGTCATTTTATTTAACTGATTGTGTGAATTTCCAGGTTCTTTTTGATGGCAGAAGTTCCCTTGTAAAAGGAGCATGCGGTGTTGGATTGGGTTTTTCATGCCAAGATCTTCTTACCAGGGTTGAAACTTCTGTTACCTCTACTGTGATGAAAGAAACAGAGAAGGTTCCAGAATTTGAATTACTAGGAAGAGTTATTACTGCCTTAGCTACAATGATACAACAGAGAACTCGATGTTCTTCTGAAGTTTTAGACAGTCTATGCTCATGCTTTCCACTGGGTTCACATGACATAAGTGCTAAATTATATGAACAGTTATCTGAAAACAGTGAGGACTTGGAAGAAGATATCTGGGGTGTTGCTGGACTTGTTCTTGGTCTAGCTAATTCCATTAGTGCTATATACAGAGCTGGAGAGTTAGATACTGTTATCAAGATAAAGAACTTGGTAATATCATGGCTTCCATATGTGCATTCACAAGTTGAAAAAAAAACTTTCCACGGGAAAGAATCTGAAAATGTTTTAGCACTAGGATCCTGTATTGCACTTCCCACATTAGTGGCCTTTTGCCAGAGAATGGAATTGATGGATGATGCTGAGTTGGACCTCATTGTGATTGGCTTTAAAGAGTTGATTTCGGAGTTAATTGCTGTGAAAAATTGTGGCATTATGCACCATAGTTTGCTGATGGCATCATGTGTTGGAGCAGGGACAGTACTTTCTTGTATACTGAATGAAGGTGTTCACTCTATTGAGGCTGAACGCGTTAAATGTTTACTGGAACTGTTTAGGAAATGTTACTCGAATCCTTTCCCTTTTCTTGTTCATCTTGGGGGCATGCTAGGAGTTGTTAATGTGATTGGAGCAGGTGCAGGAATTTTGGTCAACATGAATTTTCCAAATTACACTAGGCAATCTGGCTATCAGAAGGTAATTTACCTTTTTATAAAATTGCTACCAGCGATCTCATCATATTTGTTATTTGTTTTCTTGCTTCATACTTAAATACCTTACTATGTAAAAAACAGGAGTCTTCTTCTCTAATGGGTCCTCTCCTGTCAAATTCTGATTTTGAACCATACTTGACATCATTGGTGCAAGAGTTGTTTCTTGTGGCACAGAATTCTGATAATCAGCAGCTACAACAGGTTGCTTCCTGGGTACTTGCCTTCCTTCGACATCATTTATGGTCCAAGGAATTTTTTAGCGTTGATAGTGATAGCAGTGTGTCTGAAACTAGTTCAAAATCTGTTTCGCATAGCTTTTCCGAGGACAATGTTGTTATGAAGCTTAGTTTGTGGCTTACGGATTTCAAATACACTGAGGTAAATCTTTTGCCCAGATTTTGTATAAATTTTTATATTTGTGTTTTTCATTTTCAAGTATTTTATTGCTTTTCTCCCCCTCTGTAACTCTTTTAATCTGTTTATTCACCCTTCTTTGCTTGATGGGAGTTGTATTCCTTTGTTGTCACGTCTGGGAGTTGAAAATCAAACTAAATACAAAAGCAGCTTGAATTTCATAACTAATTATTTCATAACTCATGAAGTCATGATTATATATAATTTTGTTGATTGTTCATATGAAGTTGTTGGGATTTGAAATTTAGTTTTTGTTAATAATCATATAGTACATATCACAAATGCTAATCATTCATGAATAATAATATTTTCTAATTTGATAAATTTCATTTTCCTTCCTTTTTAAAATGTAATAACCATGTTGGCATCATTGAAAGCCAATGGTTCTAGTATTCCTATGTATGATCATCATAAGCTGTTGTTGTTATTTTATTATTAAAAATGCTACTGTTTAGGTTTTTTACTTGGTAACAGGGTTTCGCAAATGAGCTTTTTATTTTTTTGTTAAGTCCTGTGAATGAATTTAATGCTACACTTTGTATGTGCATGTGTCCTTTTTAATTACTGGCTTAAACCATAAAATCATCTTTGTTTTGGTCTTAGTTATTCTATGATATTCATTGTTTAGTACCTTACTATTAGGCAAACTTAATTCAACATAGTAATTACTTCTGCTTCTCCTAATTATTTATTTTTTCTTTGATTATGGCATGGTTGTATATAATGAACTTTTCGTATACATCTATAATTTTTATTTTTCAAAAGCTAACATGTTTGACATCACCATGAAGCTATGATATTCAACTATGTTGGCACCTAGAAAGAAAGAAATCAAGTAAACCAAAACTCAGGCATATGAAACCTATTTCTAAAGAAATGAGCCTGTACACATGGAGGCAAGGATCCAACCAAATAAAGTCATATCTACTTTCCAAGCCTAAGTTGGCTAACCTGTCAGCACATCCATTACCTTCCCTAAAAATATGTGACACTTTTAATTTATTTCAATAGTTATGTTACATATTTTTTTGTTAATATTTCTCATTGTTCTCATTTTTTGTCATGTCCAAGTTCAGCCCGGAACTGTTGTACATAATAACCGAGTCATAGCTGTATTAAGGTGCCTTTCTAGAGCTCCCAGGTTGCCAAGCTTGGATTGGGGGTCAATTGTTCGGCGGTGTATGAGATATGAAATCAAAGTTGTTGATTTGATACCCAAAGATTCTACTTGCAAGAATGGAACTCTTAGGGAGGAATCCACCATGTTTTCAATGGCCCATGCAAATCAATTTGATTCGCTACTAACTTTTCTTGATGAGCTAACCGACTTTTCTAGATTCAGGACACTTGAAATGAACCTGCAGTCATGTCTGCTAAACCATCTGGCAGACCTTGTAAAAGTATTTTCGAACTCCAGGCTTGAGAAACTATTTGGTGATGTGAGCGATCACTTATTTTCTTTTACTTCATACAAAGAATCTAGCACCTACCACAAAAGCTTGTTATGTATTTCATGCTGGAAAGGTCTCTACGAATGCCTAGATGAAGTTTCTGCGGATACATCTGGTCACATATCTCATATTGAGAGGTGCATGGAGGTTCTATTTACTTTATTACCACCGGTTCAATCTTCTATAAGTGTAGTCTCGGGGCATGTTACTTCTGCAGAGGAATGGTCTGAGGCTGTAAGATGCTTGGGGAAGGCTCCGGAGAGTTGGCTATTGGATTTTCTGAAGGTATGGTGTGCATACATGATATATTTTACAGCATCTCTTTATCCAATTTTCCCCTCATGAAAAATATTTTGAGATCTCTCACAATGAGAGTAATAATCTTTTACGATATGTGATCATTTCTGTTGTTTGTTGCCTGTGTTATGTTGAGATGTTTTCTTGTTTAATTTAAGCTAGTGCTCCTCGGCATTGATTCAAATTGATTGAGGTCAGCTTATTATTAGATACAAATTGTCACCTCAAACCTGTGATCTAAGCTGACATTTGTAATCCACAGGTTTCACACGAGGAGTTTGTTCAGAGTGCGGGAAAATCTATCGAAGTGCTGAAAAAAGTTTGTGCTAAGATAAAGCTTGTGAAGGTTGGTTCTCTTTCAGTGACTGAACTTGGAAAAATGAAAACCTACATTTTGAACTCCAAATCACAAGGTTAGTTTTCTGCTTTGCTACTTTGTTACTGTGTTTCTGGGCATAGGAGAGCTCAGATTAATTTGGGGGAAATAATTGATGGTTCACATATCAAATGCCAGTACTATAGGTTTAATTCTTGCAGGACTCTGGGATATACTCTTTGAAGTTGTGGCAGCTTTGTACCATGCGGAGGGAAGTATAAAAAGACAGTGGCTTATTGATGCCGTTGAAATTAGCTGCGTATCCAGTTTTCCTTCCACGGTAGGAGTTCCTTACTGATTATTACAACTTATTTGTAGTAAATTTCAGGCATAGCATGGAAAAATTCAAAAACTAAATTCAACGAGAATTTGTGTGTGATATAAGAGCTCACATTTTATTTATTTGAAATGAATTAATACATTAATTTTCAGACCATTTTGATAAACAAAATTATATCGGTTACTTGAAATTTTTAATGAAATTATTATCATTATCATGATGATGATTATATATATATATATATATATATATATATATATATATATATATATATATCAACATCTTTTGTATTAACTTGAATTTCATAGGCACAATTATTCTGCCGTACAGATTTTTTCACGTGATGAAAAAATGAAAAAAAAAAAATGGAGCTTACTTTGTGAACACATCTATTCATTATTCTGCAGGCACTGCAGTTTTTTGGTCTGTTATCTGCTGCATGCTGCAAGTATATGCCCTTTATGATCGTGGACCAACAAATGGTACTGAATGATCTACCAGTCACCCTTGTGTCTCTTCTAGCAGACCAGAACTGGAATGTTATTGGTGAAACTGTCGTCTCGCACCTCTTTTCATCGACAGAACGTATATACAACTGGGCTACGCAAATAGCAGATGGTTCCTATATTCCTGGCTCGCAACCCATCGAAGAAAGTGAGAATCATATGGCTGTTTTTCTGCTACAAGTGATGAATCATACATGTGTATTACTTAGAAGTTACTTGCCATTGGATAAGCAACTGAGGCTCTCCAGCATGGTTATTGCTCGAGATGGAAACTATATTCCCGAAAATACAAGATTATGATACTAAATCGTTGTATACTCAAAAAAGCACCCCACCATATGTTTTTGGGAATTGAGTTATTTCTGCCAATCCTGATTCGATTCTGAATCCAATGTAGAGGACACTGTTGAGCAGAAGCGAACCGTGTGGAATGTCTCTGACTAAGCATCGCGCTGTACGATAGTGATAGCCTTGGGGGTGATTGCAGAGATATGTAATGCATTTCAATTATTGGGTTCAAACCCTTGATTCCAAAGTGGGTGGTGCTTCCATCCGAATGTCTAGTGTTTCCGTAGCTAGAGATAAATCCACGTAACGGTTGGAAATCTGAAAAAGTGTTGATAAGTTGGTTTTATGAATAAGTTTCTGTAAATTTTAATACCTTTATTTCAAAGATTAGTATATATATATTTTTTAAATTATTCTTGTCCCTAAACCACTCAAATAAAAGACTAAATCTTCGTATTTGTTTATTTTATCAGTTTTTCTTTTAATTTAGATGAATTTTTTTACCAAGTTAATGATTTGATATGTAGAAGATTTATTTAAATTGAAGTTAGGGATCTGTTGGTCCTGAGTTAAAAACTAACCTTTCAAAAGTGTTAAGTTACAAAAATGAAGTTTTTGTTTGTTTCAACAGTAAGAAATTGAATTTTGAATAACATATTGAAGGTGTTGACTGCATGAGAATTGTGCTGAGACAACAGAACAAATTCCATGCTCGCGAAAAATGATCAAAAGTTAGGGTTACTATTTTCTATGCCGAGGAATATGCCGAGGAAAGCTCGGAATCACAAAACTCTAGCATAACTTACAAAAACATATACACACGTTATCATAAAATTCATGTCAAATAAACGAAAAATACAAAAAGTTGTTATTTGTGATTTAAAATTGACTTACATCTTTGTAAATAGGTCACAAACAAACATGTAATAGTCTACTTCTATAACAATATAAGATTGTTGCTATTTAACTTTGAAAAGTTAGGGTTACTATTTTCTATAATATATTTATTTTAATTACATATTTTATCCTTGATAATTATTATTTTGTAAATTTTTATTATTTACGTTTTCAATGTATTTTATTATTAATAAACCTTTAAATTTTACATATTTTACCGATTCATTGAATATTGAAGAGTGTGTGACATGTAATTTTTTTTAAATTAAATATTTAAAATAATTTCATTTTATAATAATTAGTAACAAAACAAAGTTTTTTTTTTTAACTTTCTTTGTAACACTGTAACATGCTGTTACATTTTCGCATAAGTTGGTAAAATAAAATGTAAATAAAATAAGTAAAAAATATAAAAGGAGAATATAAAAAACGATGACAAATTAGTTTAATATGTATTACCGAGTCAAAAAAGCTTTAAAGAAATGAAATAATAAAAAAAATCTCATTTTACTGGTAATAAAATGAATTTTTAATATTAATACATCGTTAATTTAACAAATTAGTAAAATATATAAGTTAAAAATTACAATAATTTAACGGAAAATAGAATTAAATAATGTAATTTTAAACGCCATAAAACTTCGTATTGAAGTACAAATGAGAAACTCAGTCACAAATCTTTGAAGACGTGCGAGCACACAGAATAGAGCACAAATTCTCACTTCACAGGTGCACTGAGAACCTGAGATGTTGATCTTTCAATCTCCTCATCAACATGATTCGTCGACCTTCAATCTATCTTCCCACTCTGGTTCAATCATTCTCCAACTCATCTTTCACCAATAAAACCCTTCTATTTTCTTCTTCTTCTTCTTCTCTGATCACTCTTCATGATTCTCACTCCAAACCCACTTTGAGTCCCTTTTACAATCTTCTCCCTCCTACCCAGAATCCCAACAACATCGTAAACGTCATGTCTTCCATCCTCAAACACAAAAGTTCCAACCTTTCCCTTCTCCTCAATAATGACATCAAGGGGATTCTCCCCCACTTAGGTTCCCATGAAATTTCAAGGGTCTTGCTCAGATGTCAGTCTGATCACTCTTCAGCTCTCACTTTCTTCAATTGGGTAAAAAATGTTTTGAATATCACACCAACTGTGCACAACTACTGTGTAGTTCTTCACATACTTGTTTGGTCTAGAGTGTTCTCACAGGCCATGACGTTATTGGTTGAATTGATACAATTGGATGACGGTGTTTGTGTCTCTTCAAATGAGGGAATTTATGAGAATCTGCTTGGGTGTACCGAGGATTGTAATTGGAACCCTTTGATCTTTGATATGCTTATCAAGGCTTATGTGAAGGTGGGTATGGTTGAGAAGGGTTTGGAAACTTTTAGGAGGAATATTGAGGCTTGTTTTATCCCCAATGTGGTTGCTTGTAATTGTTTGCTGAGTGGGTTGTCTAGGTTTAGTTACATTAGTCAGTGTTGGGAAGTATATGAAGAGATGGGAAGACTTGGAGTACATAGGAATTCTTATACTTTCAATATTATGACCCATGTTTTATGCAAAGATGGAGATACCGATAAGGTGACCAGATTCCTGGAAAAGATGGAGGAGGAAGGATTTGAGCCTGACTTGGTCACATACAACACACTTGTTAATAGCTATTGTAAGAAAAGTAGATTGGAGGATGCATTTTATCTGTACAAGATCATGTACGTTAGAGGCGTGATACCTAATTTGATCACATACACAGCCTTGATGAATGGTCTTTGTGGAGAAGGGAAGGTCAAGGAGGCTCATCAGCTTTTTCATCAGATGGTTCACAGAGGGATAGATCCAGATATTGTGTCGTATAATACTCTTGTGTGTGGTTATTGTAGACAAGGTAAGATGCAAATGTGTAGATCAATATTGAATGAAATGATAGGAAATAATATTTGTCCTGACAGCATCACTTGTCGGCTTATAGTTGATGGATATGCCAGGGATGGAAAACTTCTGTCAGCCTTGAATACAGTTGAGGAGCTTAAGAGATTTAGAATTAAAATTCCTGAAGAATTATATGATTATCTTATAGTTGCATTGTGCAAGGAAGGTAAGCCATTTGCTGCTAAAAGTTTTCTGCATAGGATATCTCAGGATGACTATATACCTAAAATTAGTACATACAATAAACTGGTTGAGTCTCTATGTGAATTCAATAACCTAGAAGAAGCACTAATTTTGAAATCTGAGATGGTAAACAAAAGCATGAAAGTGAATCTTGCTGCCTATAGAGCTGTTATAAGCTGCTTGTGTAGAGTCAAGAGGACTTCAGAGGCTGAAGGTTTGTTGGAGGAAATTATTAGTTCAGGTATTATACCTGATGTAGGAATAGTCAGGGCATTAATAAAAGGGTATTGTGAGGAAAACAAGGTTGATAAAGCTGTGTCCTTATTGAAACTCTTTGCCAAGGAGTTTCAAGTTCATGATACTGAAAGCTACAATGCATTTGTTAAAGTCTTTTGTGATGTTGGTAATGTGGCCGAGTTGATGGAGCTTCAGGACAAACTGCTCAAGGTGGGGTATGTTCCAAATAAGTTAACATGCAGGCATGTGATCCATGGATTGCAGAAAGCTATGGAGCTAGATGACGAAATTTTGGGCCATGGTATGCTTAAAGTCTAAAGGTGTGCGTGTAAAATTGTTCAACTGTTCTTTAACTTCTGTTGAATGTAAATGCTTAAATTTTTCATCAGTCTTCGTTCTTGGGAATGTGTGGGACAGAGGTTTAAATGATAAAACAAACACACACTTTCATTATAGAACTATATCCAAAATCTCACCTACCAATTAACTGAGCATGACATGACATATAAGGATCACTACATTGGAGAGATTTCTCTTGCTGATAGCCAATAGATGTTTCTTGTGGCCAAAATTCTGATGAGTACAACAGGTTGGTTCTCTACTGTTTTCCTTTGCAATTTAATTTCTAAGTTGATTTTACTTTTTTTTTTTATTTTTTTCTGGAGTTGTGTTCTAAAGAATGGTTGATTCTTGCATAGGAGTTTGAACAACTACAAAGGAACTCAAAGAGAATTTGGACATTTGAACTAAATTTAATTATGCTTGTATACTGGATCCAAAAAGAGTACATTCAAATTTCATATTCGAGTGATGTGAAGAGTCACTGTGTTTGTTAAGTCTTAAATAATTAAAGGCATAGCAAATAGGTAATATATGCTATGGTTTTTAATTGTTTCTATTAAATAATTTTAAATATAAATTATTTAATAGTAATTTTTGTAGATATAAATGCTATAAACCCTATGAGGATAGTCAGAGAGTGTTTGTTATCTTTCCTCCAATTCAATCAATTATTTGTTTTTCTTAAAAGATTGCAGTATAATGGTTAAAATACTTATTCAGTCATTTTATTTATATATTTTATTTAAATTAGTCTTTAAGTTTTAAAAATGCCAAACATAACAGTTTTGAGAGTTTTTTTAGAAACAGTGACAATTTTTAACTGTTACTATATTTATTATTGTTTTAAAATAAAAAATAAAATAAATGTAATTATATTTTTTTTAAATAGTAGTAGTGTTAAAGATCGGGTTGATTTAAGTATAAGAAAGAAGGGGTTCAGAAAAGTAAGTTAATATTTTTTGGATTAAGTTAAAAATATTATAAATAAAAAATTTAACCATTCAAAATTAATTTATATAAAATTATAATTTCTTTATAACTTTCTTTTTAGGCCTTCTCTTTAGACTTTTTCAATTTTTTTAGATCCAAACATGTCACAATCGTATGTGTATTTTCTTAGAGAAAGATAAGTTTTGAGTAGTTAGGAGTATATTAGTAACTTCAATTTGTTGATTAGGATTTTTGGTGAACAAGATTAAGCTTCTTCTAAAGTGGAATTTGGACTTTATATGACTTGGAGTTTTAGGGATAATTTTTTATAAGGAAGCAAATGGAAAGGTAAGGGAAGCCAACTTTTCAATTTTCATGGCTAAATGTGATAGAATGACATTAAATTTGCGCAGGTACATTAATTTTATTTTTAGATTCAAAAGCCAGAATTTTTATGAGGTGATAGGAAAATATGAGATGAACGATTTTGTATGTAAACAAATCTTTCATGAAATATTTAATATATTTTGAACTATTTTATCTTATGCTTTTTTTGAATTATACATGTGAAAAATTGGGAATAAGAAAAATATTAACTATTATTATGTTTAGGTTTAGTTAAATTATATAATTATTTTTTATTTATTACTAAAGAATTAAATTGAAATTAAATTTATAAGAATGTAATTAAGGAGAATAATTGAATACAGCAATAATTACTTTTAGCATTATATTTTATTACAAATAACTATTATTTTTCAAGACCTCTTAGTTTATTTTATATATGTTAATTTGATATTTTAGTATATAGATTATTTGTAAGTATAAATTATTTCATCTATTTTTATAAATAATTAATCGAATATAATTAATTTTAATTGTTTTATATATCATGAAAATAAATATTCTTGTAAAAATAAATAATTACATTTTTATTTATGAATATTATTTAAATAAAATTATTAGATATGTATTTTTATGTTATAATTTTATATTTATCATTTCATATGTATAATTGACAGTGACAAAATATATTACAAATAAAATTATTTTATACTATTTTAAATTTGTATATATATATATATATATATATATATATATATATATAAAGAAAGAATTATTACTAATTTTTTGTATTACATATAATTTTAATATATTATTTGCTAATTTAAAAAATAAAAATATTTAATATTTTGTTAAAAGATAGTTTTTTTATGATATATTAAAAGACATTATTTTACTATCATTTACAATTATAACATCAAATTTAATATATGAAAAATATATTACGTACGTCTAAGAAAATTATAATTACTCAATAAAAAATGTTGAAGAGTAAATTATTGATTCATACATATAACTTTATTAAATTATCATTTATTCAAAAAATTAATCATCTAATTATCTTAGTTTATATTATTCTTGGTTACCTTATTATACTAACTTGTATTTTAATTTTTAGTGTTCGTTAATTATTGATAAGAACTAAAAAAAGACTCAGTCGTATTAATATTAGAGAAATTAAAATTAAAGTATAAATTGATAATAATAAAAATCACAAATTCTTTCTTAAGAACAATAAAATCTTAAATATACATGTCGGGCTAAGAAATTGAAGGACCTAATTCGCAATGTTTATAACGGATATTGCTGTAACTACAACCAAGCTTTGTATTATTGTTGGGATAGAAATCAATATATGGTTATTTTATTTATTGGGGTATCAATTGCAAAATTTAAGAGTGTTTTAATCCAAATTTTGACTACATCTTGCCCAAAGAAATTATGTTATTTTTCTTTAAAAATTGAAATTTCATTTTTAAATTAACTAAAACAATACTAAAAGTATAACATTAAAAACATAAATTATAATTAAACAATATTGTAAATATAATCTTTTTTTTATATCAAATAATTTAATATAATAGAGAGATAATATCCATCTTTTGATATCATTATGTCTTTCGTCACAAATTTTCAGAGCATAGCAACTACATTATATACATTATTTAAAGATTAGAATCGAAAAAAACATGAACACAAAATATATAGTGCTATGAAGTAACAACTTTCGAAATAATTATGTTATTGTTTTGATAAACTGATAATCATCATTATTAATATCATTATATATATCAGTGACTTCATCGCTATCATTACTAATGACACCCCTATTACCATCACTTGCACAAGTAACAAAACTACCTCTGACACTGACATTGCTATTGCTACCATTTGCTATGTCAACATTATTCTGATCAGGGATCATCATTACCAATTTCTTCACCACTACAATCATAATCAACTAGTTTAACATGATAGAAATATTTTCAATCTAATTTATTTTAAAACTAAAATTTTGAAACAAATAAATTTTAAAACTAAAGACATTAACTTATTGTTAGAAACTAGAAAAATGGTTATAATTTTAAAGTTTTTGACATTACAATCACCGCAACAGCTTCCAAGAGTCAACGCCACAATCAGTTCAATTTTTATATATTATTACTAAGTGACCATTGAATGAAAGTAGTGTTTTCTAAGTTTTTTTAGTATGTCCTTAAATGGAATTAAGGAATTAAAATGTAATAGTGAGCCAAAAGTAGAAGCATTCAATAATTAATGTTTCAAAACATTTATCTTCTGTAAATAATAAGGATAATATAGCCAATAATTATTTTATAAGTATAAATATTGATATCATATGGACAATAATATGATATAGAATAAATATGAATAATAATTTTTCTTAAAAAAAACAGTGACATGTTTTTTTACCAAATCTTCGCACAATTATTTTTTGGGGGGATCACTATGCCGTTGGTCAAATGGCACAGTTTAAGAGTCTCTAACTACTAATCCATCTTTATATATCACTAAGTTGAAGCAAATTAAAAGAATAGGTAGAAGTGAAACAAAGAACATTTAAAGGATATGTAATCAAACTAGGTGACTAACCGTCTCAATTATATTTTGACTGTAACTACAGACATAAAAGGAAAAGGGTTTCCGAATATTTGTTATGTAAGCGTTCAATGGATTTTAACAGAATTTTGAACTTCAAAACTTGTATCCTAGAAGTGAACTACATGATGCACCATTCAACTAATACCACCAAATACAGGAGGCAGCCAAAAAGAAGGAAATTTACAAGTCTCGAGCATTTAAAAAGGAACATGGAAAAAACAAATTTTCAGAAATTGAAAAAAAAAAATAGGCTCCTGAAAATTATAGTTTGATAGATTTAAAATTTTACCTTGCTGTACAAATCAGACCATTAGTAGATCCTCAACAGACACTGCCCTCAGGTGAGTGTTTGGGAGAAGAAACTTGCCTCGTGGTAGACTGGGAATCTTCACTTGGTTCCATTTCCATAAGCTCCAAACCATTCCTAGTTTCAGAATTTTTATTCTCACCATCTGATTCAATTACTTGTTGGTTCAGAGAGTTTCCTATTTTTTCTTTAGAATGGTCATCTGAATCTATGGGTTCCTTGGGAGTGGATAAAGAACGTTCTCTACTACCAGTAGTCGCATTACTAGAACTAGTAGGTGTTATCCACATGAATTTCAGATTCTGGTCTTTCCAGCATTTACCATTACTATACGCCCTCTCAGCTGCCCAACGAGTGGTAAAAGTAATGTGTGCCTCTTGTTGGCTAGTATCATTGATTTGAACGTCTTCTAGCTCTACGGAAGAAAGTTCGCCATAATGTGAGAAGTGCTCCTTCAAAACAGCAACCTAAAAGACAACAGTTTAGTCGGGAAAAAAAAATGAAATAAGATGAAAAGATTACCTCTCAGTTAATAATGGTACATTAACACATCTAAGACGACCATATAAATGCGTAGACTTCTAATAAATCAACCATAAAACTCATTTTATTTTCATCTGATACATAACAAATGATCTCATGTAATATTTCTTATCTATAGAAGGTGAGACCAGCTAACAAGCAGATTCATGTAATACAGGAGGTTCAACTTATCTAATTAATCTTGTATTAGTGAGCAAGACAACTTGCAAGGTCAAGGGTTTGGGAAACAAATCAATGCCATACAAGAATAAGAAGCAAAAATGTGATAGCAACAGCAAGTGGTGAAGTAGAATATCATCTATGGTTCAGACTAATTGCAAACTTATGAGAGTATGAGATATTTTAGATCAAGATGAGAAAGGATTTGATAGTCTGCCTCTCCAAGATTATCATTTGATAACCAGTCTGCCATATTCATCTCATCAAATCCAATATGTCATGATTATAAGCATGATGTCATTTTGTCCAAAGAGAAAATTTACGAGTGACCATTGAGTAACTTACAATTTATTCAGAAAGGCTTTTGACTACGGTATGCTATGATTTCATTTGAAACAAGCTCAGTACCATTAAATCTATGCTTCAGCTTGAGGGAGAGTATTGAGAGTTGTTAGTGTCAAGAGTTAATTAAGAGTTTATTTCAAGTTATTGAGAATATATGGGTGTATTGCAAAGATAGACTTTGAAGTTTGGAAGAATAACTAAAGAGCAGAGTCACACAGACTACAACATTGATGGCACATGTTGGGATTCAAATTCAAAAAGTAAAAACCTTATCCAATACATATGAACATATATGTGAAACTATTTACTATTCTCACATGTGAATGCATGCCTGAATCTCCAATAGAGGATGTCTCTTGGGACCTTATATCAAAAACAAGGCGAGCCATTTAAAATTTTTCATAACCCTTAATTACAGAGACAGAACGACAGAGAGAGAACACTTACATTAGCTAGACCAGCTGGCAAAGGTGGGATGATACGAAATGCAGCAGGACGATTGTCCAATTTGTATCTATTTACAGGCATTACTGGTTGAATAGGGTGCTTTAAGCCTGTAGATTCTTGCAGTTTTGCTGCTGTACTTGTTTTAGGACTTTGGGATAAAGTACTGACCAGCTGTTTATTCTTATCAGCTACTGCCTCTGTGTATGGAGATGTCATACCAACATCAGCATCCGATGATTGAGAAGCCAGTTTGGCAACATCAGGTGTTGTGCCCAATTTGAGCCTCTTGGCAGCTTGCTCATTAGATAACTCACCCTTGAGTCCAGAAGCCTGTGAATAATTAAAGTCCATATGGTTAGAGGGAAGGAATAACGCCAATACAAGAAACAAGATGAAAACAGAATGTAACAGGAAAATGAAAAGTATGCCTAACTTCGATGTCTCTTTGTTAACATAATTATGTAGAGTATTAAACCACAATTTTTTTTGTAAGTTTCTACCAGATATACTTCGCTTAGACTTGAAAAGGACAGTATAAGTCTGCCTTATTGATACATAATGCTAGTTGCCTGGCACTAAATGTATAATCAACAACAAATTAAATTAAGGGCCTTTAGGTTTTACTTGTTTCTCAAATTTGTTCAACTGGCGCTTGAACTCATTGCGCTTTTGATCTAGCATTTCCTGCTTCTTGCGCAGTTCTTCCTTTAGATTCTCCAAGTTTACAAGCTTCTTCTGCAAAGGAGGTGGAACCTTGGGTCCATCAGTGCTGACTGGCCTAGGTTGATCAGTAGGCGATGATACTTCATATGTAGTCTTTGAAGCATCAGTTTGATGGATGTCTTTCCCCCTATCAGAGACAACAGGATGAGATGGAACAAAAGCAGGTGCTTGCCCACGGGGATTTACAATCATGCCATTCCCACTTGTGGTACTATCACTGCGAATGCTATCGCGATTAGCCCACCAAAGCTTGATAAAACGATTACCCATCACAGCATCTGGCGCCTTCAAAGCAGCTTCAGCCTCTTCCCTCTTGGAGAATTGCACAAAAGCTCGTTCACTGTTAACTGGAATATAAATGTCAATAACTTCCCCAAACTTCTTAAAATGAGCTAGAAGAGCTTCTCTCTTGTTATTTTTCTGAGGTATTCCATTTACAAATAGAGTACGCAATGCCTTTTGTGATGACTTTCGTATGGTACGCATACTATCAGTTTGCGTTTTCAAAGAGGTGTCCAAGGCTTTTGGGTCTGCATCATCTGCTATGTTTTGCTTCACTTGAAAGGAAGCATTGTGAGCACCGACTAATTCATCATTATCTTCCTTTAATTGATTCTCAGGATAATGAAAGGAACTCATTGTAGTGTTAGTTTTTTCTTTCATGTCAAATCTATTTTTTGAACTACCAATTCTGGCCCAAACAGATGAACTGGCACCTTGTGAACTGACAGATGCTCTGGCAGCTCCAACTGGACAATCACTATCTGGAGGATCATTCGATATGGGCTCAGTTTCATCACTCTTAGATGACTGAAGAGTTAGGAGTGCATTTGAAGACTCTAGACCACTATCATTCCAAAGTGGTTGATCAGGATCATAAAGATCAGTTCCACTTGTGCAACCAGCCGGACCAGTATAAGCACCATTCAAATCCAAACCATCATCATTGACTACAGGCTTAGAAACTTTTCCAGGTAAACATTTGTTGTTCATCGAAGTGGTAGAAGCATTTAATGAATGTAAAGATCCAGATCCAGCAGGAGCTCCAATTAGGTGTGCATTTGGAAGTGATACGGGAAGGTTGAACTGTGAAAGACTCTGAATTGTGAACAACGAATTAATTAGTGAGTTTAACAATGAATTAAATCTCACGAAGAAAAGTATTCATCACTGCATCTAATCCAACAGGTTAGTTAATAAAATGAGTGAAATTAATACTAGTATTGGATATTTGAATTCTATGATTGGTGCTACAAAAACCCAAAACAGAAAACATGAGGGAACATTTCATAAATGAGATATCATTTTAAAAATTTCCCCTAGCCCCCTCTTTATATAGCTCACTGTCATCCATGACTTTATTCTTTATCCATATCAACTTGAGAAAGGATACATAACTAAGGGACATTGAGGAAGAACGTACTTTAAAATTTGTAAAGCTAATTTTTAAATGTAGTAACTTCTTTCCATAATGCCTCATTTTTTCAATGTAAGTGTTAAAAAAGAAAACACAGACATTGGACAATAAACCATGCATGGATACACAACAGATGAGTTTTGACTCATTACATTTATCATGCATGAATAGAAGACATTTTGTTTCTTCTAAAATAAATTTTACACGACTACAACAATAAACAAAATATATTATTTTAATTCTCAACAATAAGTTTCTCAATTCACAATCGACTTTAAGTCAGACCTATTTATGTTTCAGTGTTGGTGTTGCATGTTATGATTAATATATTTAATATACTAGTATAATGTAAGTGATGCTTCAATGTTGCACTTACAATTGCTCTTTTAAGTAAGACATGCAAATGAGGACATCAGACAGTCAAACATGCCCACAACAGCCCAAAAAATCTAGTAAATGCAACAGCAACTCAGTAACAAATTTTGTCCCAACCATACCAGCAGATCAAATATTAAATTACCCACACGAACATCCTAGCATCCTAAACATAATAGGTGTGCAGTAATATTGAATTGATTCCGCATAAAGACATTCAATTCTTCATTAAAGTCAAACACACAACAAAAACATACTTTGTAATAAAACTGCTCATGCAATTTGAAATATAAGCTTCACCTTTTTTAGCTACACAACAGTAAATATACTAAGAAAAAACAAGGTACCTGAACATCTTCAATGACAATCCGATTAACACCGTGCTCCATAGGACACATGTCCCCTCTAAGACAAAATCCACGTTCCTCAAAATCTCTACATCGTTGGCGAGGAATATTCACATTCAAAGATGAATTAATAGGTGGTCTGAGCGTTCCTTGTAAACCCATTGGATGAAGCATTTCTAGACCACCATTGGGCACCGCTGGAATTAAACCAAACGTATTCCAGGATGCATTTTGTGCATTTGAAACATTGGGTAACCCACGTCCAGCATAGAGGCTAGGAGGAATGGACCCTTGCGGAACCATTTGTGAAGCAACATCCATTGAGCCAAACCTAGGTTCACGTTGATTCCAAAAACCAGATTCCCTGCCTCTTCCCCTGCCAACACCGGGATCTCCAGTAAAAGATTGGTTTCCTCGCAGTCTTTGATTCATATCTAAAGGTGTTCGAGGAACTGTAGTCAAGCCAGGGCGTCTTCTATCAAACTTGAAGTATATATCTTTATCTGTGGTGGCATCGCTGTAAGTTTTCAGTGTTTCAAAGGCTTGCGATTCATTTTCTCTGAAGGGATGCCTATTCCCAAAATTTTTGTTACGCTTTTTGAATGGCCTACTGACAACAGGATCTGAAATATCTCTCTCCAAAGATTGAGAACGAGCTTCCCTCCTTCGATGCTTATGATTCCGGTCATCATCATCATCTTCACTCACTTCCTTTTCCTCTGGATCACTAACACAATCAGATGGTGCAACAGACTCAGGTTTTGGAGATGAAACTTTCAGCTCCATTAATTCACTTATAATAAACTATTTACAATGTCTTCTTCCAAACACCAACTAGAAAAAATAAGTCAGCTTATGCTGTTTGAAACAGCTCCAGAAATACAAAGGGACCTACAACAAAAGAAAATATAGCAAATCCAATATGAGATAAAATATAGCACTAGACACTGGCTGATTACATGTTTGTTATGTTTGCTTTTAATGACCAGTTTCTTAGTTATGTATCATTGCACTCGATTTCAAAGAAAATGTTAATGGTCAAATTAAGACCATTTGTGATATTTCCACAATAGCAAAGAATAACAAACAAAGAACTCAAACATAAAGAACGCATGAGAGAATACATCTACATGAAATTCCAACTGAAATGAGTGAGAAATGTCTAATAAGACCATTAAGCAATAGGTTAAGAATTTAAAATGTCCCTATTATGAGAACTATGCAGCATCTATGCAAAGTAACATGATAAAATCATATAATTACTTGTAATCACTTAAAACTATATTCTCTTTGGTTCATCAAATAGTTAGAAAATTATCCAACTTTTGAACATATGGCCAAATCTAAAGGTTCATCAAATTACCCAAAAAAAAAAAAACACAAATGTAGCAATATCATAGGACACACTCATATTAGGAGCAAACATAAAAAAGGGATAGCAGATCTCTAGTTACCCAACATTATCATATAAGACAATGCCGCAACATGAGTTTCACCACATTAAACTAAATACTAAAATATATCCGACACCAAAGTCATCAACAGCTCAAACCTACTGGTGAACCCCTATAAATCCATAAAATTAAAAAATAAAATAAAATAAAACACCCCAGTGTCATTTGTCTGCCTCTAATTAACCCTAAACAATTGTCTAATTGGAAAGATCCACCCACTGTTTTTGCCCTAACAAACATTTCCGTTTCTAACACAAGGCTTTGCAATAATTTTCTCCAATTTAAATGATCAAATAATGAATAACAAACAACCACTACACTGTGTACATGAGGGGTTCCGTACTCATGTGTTTGTCCACACATAAGGGAACTGAGAAAATTACCAAAAGTACGCATCCCTTTACAACAGGAAAATTCAGTGAAACCTAAAACGAAAGCAATCGCGTGGGTCTGTAGTTATTTCTTTCATTCCCTTCAATTAGGACAAGAGAGAGGGACAAACAATTCCAAGAATAAACAATTATCTTATCCACAAAATTAGAGAAAGAACCTGAGAAAGAGAAGGAGTGGTGGAATGGAACCACGCGCAACGGAGGCTGGCGGCTACGGCGGTTAGCAGCGACCGCGATTGGAGGACGGAGGAGCTGAGAGTAAGAGCGTGGTGGGTGCGCCTCTCTTGTGCTCTTTTGCCTTGGAGACTTTGTAAGAGAGGAAACAAACATAACACCTTAATCAGATTATTTTTTATTATCGATTTTTCTTTTATTATTTTTCCCCTTTCGTCAAATCAAAACAATGTAAATTGAAAATTATATTTTATTTAATTATTAATTATCAATTAGAGTGTAATTTCAACGGAAAATCGTCTTTACTCAATCTATCCCATATATAAAAATCTTAAAGAGTATTTTTAATTATTTATTTTTGTAAATAAAATACTAAATACTTATGTACATATAATAAAAACTGTTTTCAATTCATATTTGATAAACTTTATTATGTCATATCACAAAAAATATGGAAAAATTAATTTTAAATTAGTATATTATTTTAAAAAAATTATAATGACTTTCATTCAATTCTTTTTTCTTCTGATAGTGCGAGGTTGTGCAGATTTTAGGAATGATTATTTTGTTAGGTTTAATTTTTCCTAATGTCAAGTATTGTTTTTTATTTTAAAAAAATAGAATATATTTTTTTATGAGAGTTATTTCAATGAATTATGTGAGGCACGAGAATAACATAATATTGGTTACCCACTATCATTTCAAAAGTAAAATAAGTAGATGTAGGTAATATTTTGATAGATTCTAATATTGTTAACACTTTCAATATGTTTAATTAAAAATTATTAATTTATTTATTTTTACAATAAGAATAAAAAGTGAGACATATTAATCAAATTTTTACTATTAAATATATTAAAAATATATTTCAATTAATAAATTTTATTACAAACTTATTTATCTTTATTACAAAGCTACCGCACATAACCCATCTAATTTTGCAGAAACATAGTTTCTTCATATTCCTAATACCATTGAGTTCTTCCATTAGTATAGTGGTTCCGAGTTTGGTTTAAACCAACAACATGCATGAGCTCACATATGAGGTATTGGAAAATGTGAAATAAGGTTAGGGTGAATGTTTTTTAGTCTCATGCAATGGTTACTAAAGATATCAAATTCTATATTAAATGTGAATCGTTATTGTATATGAAATATAAGTTGTTTTACAATTAGGATATTTAATTGATAATTATTTCATTTTTTTACCACAATCCTTTAATGAGTTACATGTCCAAGTTTAAAGATAAGAAAGTTATTACAAATATGTCATTTTGAGCTTAAGTCTTTAAAATATCTAGGATAGTTAAGTTTGAACAATACACTCATCTAAATACTCATAGAGAACACATCATTGCAAAAAACTTTTAAATTGGAATTGTTGCATGCACTCGCACCTGTACTATTTCTAGCTCATACTGATATGGGATTTTCATTATAATTACGGGCATAGTACCGATCAGGGCCAACAAGTTAAAGATATAATCGAAAACTCATTTGATATGATTCTCTTACACACTTCATTTGTAACGACTTATAGTTGTAAAACTTACATATATTGTACTTGATTTGGGATCACACAAATTATACCTTATTCGGGGTCACATAAATATAAAAGTTATACCTTACTCGTGGTCACACGAGTATAAAAGTTGTATCTTACTCGGGATCACATGAATATAAAAGTTGTACATTACTTCAGTCACACAATTATAAAAATTATACTTTACTCAATATTACATGAGTATAAAAGTTGTACCTCATTTGAGGTCACACGATTATAAAAGATGTATCTTATTCGAGGTCACACAAATATAAAAAGTTGTACATAAAAAATATACCTTACTCATGATCATATGAGTATAAAAGTTATATCTTACTCGGAGTCATATGAATATCTAGAGGTCAGATAAATATAAAAGATGTATCTTACTTGAGATCACACAAGTATAAACGTTGTACCTTACCCGAAATTACATGAGTATAAAAAATTGTAACTCGGATCACACGAGTTATAAAAGTTATACATTACTTTGGATCATATGAGTTATATATATCTTACTCTAAGTCACATGAGTTATAAAATTTATACATTATTTGAGGTCATGCGAGTTATACATACCTTATTCAGGTATACGAGTTATCAAAACCTATATCTACCTTATTATAGATTACATGAGTTATAGATACCTTACTAAAGTATTATAAATTATCAAAATCTACATCTATCTTACTCGGGATCACACGAGTATACATACCTTATTCGGGCATACAAGTTAAAAATCTGCATCTTAAAAATTCTACTCAGAGTCATGAGTCTAACATTTGCATAGTCTACTAACACTTGCATAGTTTATGAATGAAATAATTTATAACTTCATAATTATAGTATATGCATATGACAATTGTAAATTATTTTCCAGATCAATGAAGTTTTGTTTTGACTTATAAGAGGGGGGAGTCACCTCTCACAGTATCACTCGAGGTCGTTTAGTCTTCATAGGATGATCTTCTTAAGCACGAAATGGGAGTCCTACCGAGCTCCTTTCTCCTCTTCCTAAAGTTTTCAACCAATTACCTTTGCATGACAAATAAACAGGGTTATACCGAGTAAATGTCATGAATATATCTCGATCTAATGGAATAACATTTGATAGGATAAACATGTTCAAACTAAACATTACTGATCTATATTATAAAATTATATATCAATTCAACCTTAAACTTGTTTGATCTCTATTCCTAAAGGAACTCAACTTTAAGCTTGGAAAACTTGTATACTTACCCGTTTCATGTTTATTAAAACCATAATATTTATTTAATTATCTTCTTACACATTATTTTATTAATTATTTTTGATATATTATTATTTTATACAATATTTTATATAAAATTATTTTTTAAACTATTATTATCTTTTAAGTATTATATAAAAATACTTAATTAAAAAGTAAATCTCAATTTATCATTTATTTCAAATACATTACTCTTTTCTTAAAAAAAAAAAACTAACTTAAACAATAAAATATTTAAAAATTGACTTGTCAGATTATCTTCCTAATAGAACTTAACTCAAAATTTCATCTAAATTATATTTTTCATTTCGACCAAACACCTTACCAACCTCTTCCACAAGCAGTGCAATAAGAAGAAAAATCAACCTTTGACATGCAACCAAACGGGTTAACAATAATATAAAATTATATTTTCTAAGATTTTAAAGTGAATCAGTAAATGTTTTGAAAATCGACCATTAGATAAATAATATAAAATCAGAGAAATGAATTAATTTTGTTATAGGACAAGATTTAATAAAAAAATTAAGATAACTTTAATTATTATAAAAGATAAACCTTTTATCAACAATATAATATTTATACACTTAATTTTTCTTTTATTTTATTATTATTAATTTTTTTCTTTGAATTTTTATTTTACTTTTATTATTATTAACTTTTCCATTTTTCCCGTATTTTATATATATAATATTTATTATGATTTATAATTACCAATATATTAATTATTATTATTATTATTATTATTATGTTTTTTAAATTATTATTAATAATAAATTATTATATATTTATTATATTATAAAATATTATTTTATTAAATCATAACTTATACGACTAATCCAAATAATATTAATAATAATAATTCGAAATCACTGAATTCGGAATCATCGTATTCGTCAGATCAAACACTGGCAGAAGTAAAATTGTTTTTAAATAATTTTGAAATCCAATTATAATTATTCGACATATACAAAACAAGATGAAGATAGACATCAATCAAAAAGAAAGAAAAAAAAAAAGAAAAAAACAGCAAACAGGTTTAAACTTTCCAAGAGACAAGAATAGATTAAAATAAAGAAAAGGTTAAAAATATCCACTTTGGCACAATCAAACTTAACCACAATGTCTCCTCATAAACCTTTCATAGCAATTGATTCTTCTATACATGAATTAAGCGTGTGATGCTACCGACCAAACCAAGCTCGTGGGGGTGGAACATCACCATCATTCATGAGCTTATCCAGCACTGCATTGAGGTCAACAGACTGACCATTCTCTGTCAGCTTCCGAACTGTGGCCCTCACATGGTCTCTGGGGAATCCCATACTGGCAACTTTGTCCACCACATCATCCACGGAAACCCTTCCTCCAGTTCCAGCAGAACCAGAGCTGCCACTAACTGCAGATGCAGTAGGTAGTGCTTGTGGGAGTATCCTGGCAGTTGGGGGCTGAGGGTAGCTGCCTCCACCACTTGGAGAGACTGAAGAAGTTGGTAGTTGTTGTGGTTTCAGTGCAGGATTGCCACCATACTGAGGTGGTCCACCATAACGATACTGCTCAGGGGGGACCGATAGTGTACCATATCCAGAAGAATAGCCTGAACCAGGTCTGCTTGATGGTGGTTCATATGTGTGGGATGGTGTCCCATAGAACTGTTGAGGAGGAGGACCGGTGGGTGGCTGAGATGGCGGCTGGCGGACATTGGGAGGATAATTCTGAGGAGGATAAGGTGGTTCCTCAACATGGTGACCCTGTGAAGATTGTAGTTGAGACGGATTCATGGTTTGATGGGATGGTAGCTGCTGTTGAGGTAGATGAGGTGCAGGCTGAGAGTACTGCGGATGTGGGGTCTGTTGATATTGCTGATGTGGAACTACTGCCCCGGGCTGAGCATTTAGAGGCTGCGATAAAGGCAGTTGGTATTGCTGATTTGGTGTTTCCTGAGACTGAACAGGTGGTGGGAAGTATGGATCTCTCTGAGAAGCAGCTTGGATTTGGTTTGGAGAGAATTGGTTTGGAAGTTGACTTGGTGGTGGAGGTGGCAAGCCCTGTTGAAGTGGAGGAGGCAAACCCTGTTGTGGAGGAGGTTGAGGAGGTGCATTAGGGGGAGGAACACCAGGAATTGATTGAGGAAGATTAGCAGGGGCAGGAAGCTGTGGTTGAGATTGAACAGGAGCAGGTTGCTGCACAGGATCCGTAATTGCACTAGCTTGCACTTCTGATTTCTGATCCGTCTTGGACACTTGCAGCTTTGCCACTTGCATTTGAGCTTGCATTATTATATCTTGCTTGTCCTTGACAATTATGACCCCTGATTGCACCTGTATGTTTCATTTATCAAACAAAACAGGATTAGTATGAAAGAAAACTATAATAGCTTTGATATTAAGTTAAAGTTAAAACTATACCTAACAGTAGTATGCACATACACCAGTTTAGTAAAATTGCCTTGAACCATTCATTAACATAATTTGTTTAACTTTTCCATTTTTTGAATATGTCTAACAAATTCAGTTTAATACTCTTTAATAATATTTTTCACTATTGGAGAAAATTATTAAATTCAATCATGTGTGCCAATGACCTCTCCCAGAAGCTTAATATTAATAATTAAGTAGCAAACAATATAGGAATTGGAAAGCTAACCAAATTCTCAAACATTTCAATATAGTTAAAGGTGGTATGCACAAATAAGGATTTATGAGAGTTTAACATCATAAACTTACAACAGAAACACAAAGTCAAGTCACATCATCAAAATGTGTTGGTCTATAATGTGGGAAACACAATCTTACTAAAAGAATAGCATCACCACTGGGAGTCAAGATACCACAAGTATAAAACTATACATGCAATATGACAAACTTAATAACTCCTATGTACTTGCCATGTGAACTGGTATGTGCAGACCCAACAATAACGTTATCAAGGAAAATTTAGGTACACAACCTTTGAATTCATTCCACTTTAAAAAAACATCCAAAATATTAAGGCTAGAAGGGGGTAGGGGATGGAGTTTGATAGATAAAATACCTCTCGAAGAATATTCTCCAACTGCCTCAATTTTCCATCAGTGATACCATGATTATTTCCAACAGATACCTTCAAATCATCCACAGAATTTTCGAGATGGTGGGTTCTGGTTTCTAGTTGTGTTAACCGTGCACTAACACCTTCCAGAACATTAAGCATATTTTCCATATGTTTCTTCATGGTACGATCAATCTCAGACAATATTGAAGTATCAGAAGCACTTCGGTCCTTTTCTACAATCACTTTTGCAGGTTCCACTGAATCCAGAGAACTGTAATTCTGCACAAAATAAAGATGGATACATAAAATTTATGAAGATAAAAACACTACATGGCACAATGAATGGTGGCTGCCATTCACTCTGCCACTATCACGCCATGCCGTAGTGGGCTGTTACCAACTTATAAATAGATAATATCGGCATTCTCACATTCAGCTAATTAGAATCATCAAATGTAGATAAAATAACTTGCAATTTTGTCGATAAATTTCACTTAAAATAAGTATTCAAGATGATCTAACATAGCTCATTTCAATCAAGAGGAATTGATTCATGAACGCATGGATACGTGAATAAAATGTTCATAGAATTTTATGGTCAACCACCCAAGCTGAAACCACAACGGGACCTGACCTAACTTCCATTACTGAACCCCCAAATTTCACAGAACACACCTTCCATTTTCTCAGCACTTGCCAAGATGAAATTTAGGAAACCATTCAAATATAACATAATATATAGTAGGCACACAACAAAGAACCCCATAATAAAAAGCTAGAATGAAACACATATCCTCCCCCAGCATTGAAAGATTGCAAACACCCTTTTGAAAATGGCTCTTGAAATGATCATACAGTACAATACCACAACGTGTCAATGACCTAACACAACTGAGTATTCAAGTTAAGGGACTTTTTCAAGTTGCGCAATCACAAATCACAATCACAGGAAGACAAGTACAACCACAGAGATGATCACTAAACAAGACTTTAACAACTAATATAAACCCTAATTAATCCAATACCCTAACTAACTTTTACAAACATCCCACAAGCCAACAAACATGATTGAAAATCAGAATACCCAGATGAGCAAAAAGATTAAAGACAAAAAATTTGGGGTTTAAAAGAAAAGGGTAAGCGAGAAACGTTACTTTAGAGTTGGAATCGGAATTCCAAGGGCGAGAGAATGCGGCAGAGAAATTAGGGGCGGAATCGTAACTGGAAGCGGTGAGAGGGCGAATAGGCTGGAAATCGTAACTGGGAACGATTTCGTCTCTGTTGATTCCGTTGTCACGTGCTTTTTCTTCTTGTTCATCATCGTCTCCTTCGCGAAGATGATGATGATGTTGCTGCGATGGTTCGTGTTTCATGAGGTCGATGAAGTCCTTGCTGTGTTGCTGAGTAGTGGAAGATCCGTGAGTGAGATCCATAATCTGCTTGTCCATAAAAGGCGTTGTATTCATCGATTAATACCAGAAACTCAAACCTCAAAACACAACTCAATGGTTTGTGGTTAGGTGTGAGACTCTCTGGTTTGGTCTGTCCTCAGAAACCTCTTCAACACAACGACAACACTGATGACACTATCATTCTTCCTTACCCTTTTGCAGTTTCACTCTTATATATATAAAATTCTATTTAATATTTTTTCCATCTCTCTTTTATCTTTATTTGGTTTTTATCTTCAATTATAAAGATAGCGTATAAATTTCAAAATTATGATTAATGTATATTTATATTTTGGTTCGTTTTGATTCTGTAACTAAAAAAATATATTATTTTTGGAAGATTTTGAACCTTTCAATGAATAAAATAAAAATAAAAATAAAACCGTTTTTCAAGGTGAATAAATATTATAAACACAAAAAGTCATTAATTACATGCTTTTTAAAATATTTAATATTTTCCCCTTATTTAATTGTAAATAAATATACCATAGAAGTATTTATTTTATTTATGTTTTTCTTTTCAAAACAAAATCTTAGCAAATTTCCATTTAAATCAATTTGTCTGATTAATTTACAAGACAAAAATTTATCTCTCTATAAATACTTAGCATCCATAACTCAAGTCAAATTATATAAAAGTTTTGCTTTTAAAGTTTAAATTAAAAAATAATATATTTTAAACCTTTCATTCTTTATTATGTTAAAGTTAAAGTGAACTAATATTCAAATAGTGAAAGATTGAAAAAACCAATCACAAAAAGAATGAAATCTAATGTTGTTTTGTACTTTATTTTTAATATGTAAAAAATAAAGATTTATAAAAATTATAGTTAAATTAAGATAAGAGTTATTTTGATTAAATCACCCGTGTACCCACTTCTATGAATCGATTAATAACTAAAACACTAACACAAACTTTAAAAAATTACTACAAATACTTTTAATACATTTATTATTTATACATTGCCTATTTTAATTAATATATGATAATATAAATTAATTTGAACATTCTTGGTGTAGCAAGTTTTGCCACTTCCAACACAGTTGATGAACACAAATAACAAAATTCTATTTGAATTTTTTTTATTTCATCTCTTTCACATTTGTCGTTATAAAAAATACAGTTATTCATAATGTATATTTAGAAATTTGAAAACTAATTTTGTAAACTCAATTTTACAATATTTTGAAAACTAAATCATGAAATTTTACAAGATTAATTATATTCTAGAATTTTGTTTTCATAATATTTAATAGTTAATCCGTTACATAATTTAGTATGAGATATGACGAGAAAAGAATTTTAAAATTAAATTTATAATGGTTTTAAATTATTAGTATGCTTTTAGATATCATTCAATTTATTCTTTAGTTGTGATCAATTAAATCTCTTGATAAAAAAAAAAAAAAAAAAAAAAACAAAAAAATAAATTACAACAATAATATAATATAAATATAAAATATAAATAAAGTATTGATTAAATACAAGTTATTTAAGAGTTTTTCTTCTCCTCTCATGTACAATTAGTCTCAGTGCAAATCCTTGAGATGTTCAATGCCTCTTGTGTGGTATTCCAAGCCTCAGTCCCTTCCATGACCACACTTAGATCAAGCATGGATTGAAGTAACTTGGAAATTCTTTCAAATCGTTCCTATAAAATGAATATAACATAAACATAATGAAGGATGAGATAAGTGCGATTATTACAATATACACAGTAAGAGTAAAGTAAACACATATACACTAACTGAACAAGAATGAGAATCACTTGAACTAGACTCAGTTTGAATGGTATAGAGCTGCAATGGGGCTCTTGGAGGATCTCCTTCTCGTGGGGGGATGATGTAGGTGTGGAATAGTGTGAAACCAAGCTGTGTATTCATCCACACACTGTGATGGATCAACTAGCTCTGGTCCTCTCATGTCTTTGTGAAGAATGTGATTATAATAGTTCAGAAACATGTTATCAGAGTCATTGGTGGGTGACTAGTAATCACACATGGTGAGCGAGGAATGCCTTGTTCATGTCCAAATTGTCTAAACACCACCCTCTCTGGTAGATAAGGGAGCATTAGTGAACCACATCTGATGTAGCCTGAGAAAAACGAGATGTCATGACAAGGCCTATGTTCTCTATGAGCTGCAGATGGCATCCACAAGATATCCTTTGTCTGCAGCAGATCCAATGCAGTTCGAATAGTGAACACATCACCTGCACTCCTGGTAGGTAACTATCGACAAGCACAGGGTTCATGCTCAGTACATCCATTTGTCAATTGGCGAGGGCCAATGGCTGGGAAATGCTCAAAAATCCATGTTGAAGAAACAATATTATCATCATTAATTGAATTAACATGAGTAAAGTTGAAGAAAAATGAAATACAAACTTTGATACCTGTAAAAGAGTCATATATCCTGACATCTGCTTCGTATGATGCATAAGAGCATCATTGAGTTGATGTACATATATGCTAAGGCAGAGACACCCAATGCATGCTTGCCACATGTCTCAAGATCACAAAAAAGTTCTAACAATGCCACATGCAAAGATGGTGCAACCCACCAAATGCCGTATGAAAGCTCTTGCTGCATAGTCCAAGTGCCCGTCTTGAATGTTTAACTCATACAAATCCTATAGCCACCTGAATCGCACATGCGCTCCTAGAGTGAGTCTGGTCTCTCTATGTGCCTCCTCCTTGGTGGCCCTTAGTAGCTCCACCAGGTATAAACAGGCCTCATCTGCACCAAAAGATGGGAACGAACACAGCTCCCCAGAGATTGGTAAATGTAAGAGAGGTGATACATCATCTAGAGTGATAGTCATCTCCCCAATTGGGAGGTGGAAGGAACTGGTGTCCTTGAGCAACCACTCAGCAAATGCAGACAATAAGCTTTGTCCACATTCCTGTATCATGCCTGTAGAAGGGAAGCAAGCCCTGGCATCTCCACAATGGCCTTCACTTGCTCATTCTCCAAGCAGAAGTCCATGACTTTCCGTCCATGACTAACCACCTTCAACTCATGACGGTCCTCTCCTATCTATAGCCGTGTGGCAAGATGGTGTGCAAAGGATTTAAGCACAGACAGATCTTGAGGACCTCCTGAAAATGCCTCATCAGCAAGTTGTACTAGTTTTGGATCCTGTGAATGGACATCTTCAGCCTATGGACGAGTTGAATTAGTCCCAAATCAAATTCATGAGTGCATAATCCAAAAAACATTAAAATCCAATATGTATATATGTTATGGATGTAACTTAAAATCATTCATCTTCTTCAACCTGTTGACTCTACCTTTTCTAATAATTGATTTTGGTTTTATATAGTGTCTCTATGACATGTGATTTTCAGCTTAACCCTTTCGCATATTAGTGTGGTACAAAAAGAAGTCTAACTAACTAAGATCAACATACCTATCTGGAAAATGCCAACTTAGTTATAGGATGTCAACTTCCAATCCCCGTAGTTAAGTAATAATAGGGTCCCAACTGGGTTCACAGAACTCAATGAAGACAGACAAATGATCTACTCCAAATTTTAACTTTAAACTAATTGACATTAAGAAAAATTACTAACAGATATATAAATCATACTTAGAGAGTTGAGGTAAAATGTGCCACCTTCCTTGACACAAGTGAACATAAGCTTGCAAGAGCAATATGAATGAACTATATTAAATTATTAAATGGACATGTTAGCAATGATGCAATCATAAGGTTGCTGCTGTATGACCTGGTAACCAGGTATTCCATAGCTTGTAGGGATAAGCCTGTGTACATCCACATTTCCAAACTGCAGACCGGACAGAAAAGAATAAATTTGAAATTAGGATATCTGGTGTGTATAAAAGATTGTCAGAATCAAATTGAATGGTTGAACATACAAAATATGTTTTAAAGTTAGGATACAACTATTCATGGCATTAAAATTGTTAATTATATGTTTTACTCGGATGAAATTTTGTAAACCTTAAATATATGCATCAACCTTTGAACTCATTCCACATGCAATACATTACTAATTATTAAGGCTGGAAAGAGGGCGGTGTCATAACAAATACCTCTTCTACAATATTTTGCCAGTTGCTTCAATTTTCCATCAGTACTACCATGATTATTTCTAACAGATAGCTTCAAATTCTCCACAGAATTTTGAAGACGGTGGGTTCTGGTTTCTAGTTGAGTTAACTGTGCACTAACACCTGCCAGAGCATGAAGCATTTTTTCCTTATGTCTCTTCTTCTTGGTACGATCAATCTTAGACAACATCGTAGCATTAAGAGCACTTCGGTCCTTTTTTACAATGACCTGTGTTGGTTTGTTAGAGTCAAGAGAACTGAAGTTATGCCTAAACTAAAGATGAGCACATAACATAATGAAGAAAACAGACTACACCAGGATGGTACAATAAATTATTAATACAAACTAACTGCATATGATAAATGCGCTAAACCTTGATGCAGAGACAAAATAAATAACTACATGTTGCCATCCATTTTTTTAAGCACTTGCTACTAATATAAACATGTTCGAAAATGCACAATTTAAAAAACAGCAGCAATAATCAAAGGGTTTTTCTATTGTATATAAAAAAAGATAGTTTTTATCATATTGAAAACACAAAAATCACTAAATACAAGCATTTTTGAGGTTTCATATTCAGAAATCAGAAGTCATAGGAACACAACCTCGAAGTTATAAATACCAAATAAGGATTAACAACTACTTCTGCTTATAATAAAAAATTATTAACTACTAATTTTTTAAACGTAATTAATTCAATGCCCATAATTAATCACAAAACAGGTGCCCCATAAGCCAACCAAGAAACACAATTGCAAAATATAAAGAACACCCAGATCAGCAAATGAGGTAGGTAAAAACAAAAATTTAGGGTGAAAAATCAAAAGGGTAAGTTAGAAATTACTTTCTTATGGGATGGGGAGAAAGGAGTTGAATCGGAGTTCCAAGAGAGAAAATGCGGCACGGAACCGAAATCGACAACACAGAGTTTCTTCCTTCAGCTTCAAATCCTAAGTAAAATGTACTTTAATATTTGATTTTTGTTCTATTTGATATTTTTCTGCTTTTTTTTCTTAAAAAAAATTCAGCGAACTTGTTATTTTAACTTATGTCTTGGTAAACTATGAGAGCTAATTTAACACCTTATCTCTATTGATTATGTAGTCTTAAAACAATTTATGAATAAACATAGTCATTGATATTGTACGTAGATAAGTAATTAATATTATATGCATCAACATTTTATGTTACAAATGAGAAAACATATTAATAATACAATATAATTATTTAATTTTAAAATTATTCCGTAAATCTAAAAATCTCACGTAACTTTATAATTAAAATTAAAAATATTTTGTAAATATTTCACTCTTTTAACCTATCCATATATGTAATTTAAAAACTACAACTAGGAGAAAGTTGTGATAAAGCTTCAAAATAAATAATATATAATAATTAACTTTAATAATATTATTTTAATAAATTTAAAATAGAAATAAAAATTATTAAAAACATAATGACTAAAACTTAATGATAGATGTATAGGTGTAGATGATTATATCGTATAAAAACAAAAAGGGTAATCGGTTATCTAGTTATATTTCATCATAAATTGTTACATAATAAACTTATTTTTTTGTTGTCTACTTTTTTTTTTCAAATTTGTTATTCAATTTCGAAAGTAATTTACATTTAACTTATAGAATAATGGTTAGAAGTCATTTCATAATATTAACTTTTGAAAAACAAGAAACTCGATTTGTTCAAATAGGAATAATTTTGATGCGATAATTAAAAATATAAATAGTACAGTTAGAAAGACAGATGAAAGAAAGAGAACTTTTTTATTGATTAAAACACAAACCATGGCTCTTTTTTGTGCTTTGAAGAAGTACATAGGGTGTTTGAATTTATGATTTAGACTATCGAAACAACTCTTTGTTTCTTTTCTCTTTCAAGTGATTTGCAATACAGTCATAAATCTCATCACAATCCAAACAGGTGAACAAGATAAAAAATGAGATTAAACATATCTACTTTAAATTAATGACCAAATATTTTTCAAATTATGTTTAAACTTATGATGCATGACTATTCTAAATATAACTTTCGTAAAATTTAAATGGCATGAATGGCCATCATATAAAATAACCCACCAACATCAACATGTTAAAAAGAGGAAAACATAGGAACAACCTTCACCTCACGCCCCTCTATAAATAATTACTTCCAGATAAGAATAATGTGGAAAACATAGAAACAAAGATAATAAATCTCTCACTTGAATTGCTTGTCTGGCTATGTAATAGTACATTTCAACATGGATGAAATAAAATGTGAATACAAAGTGCCCAGCATGGTAGGTGAACAACTCCAACGTAGAGGTAAGTAGCACTGTTCCAAGCCCAAAGGGATTCCACCCAATTCCAGTAGTCACCAACATTAATACCATAAAAATCTTCAAATGCACCCGTAAGTAAAACAAATGAAATGGGAGGAAACACAACAAAACCTAAAGCAATATTACAAGAGGCCCTTAGTAAGGTTCTCCAGCTCCTAGCTTGAATATCAAGCTTCAATGGTCTAGCCAATAGACAAATTGGGACAATAAGTAAAGCCCCAATTTCTGCAGTAGCGAAATTAATGACGGACATGAGAGACAAACCGATGAATGTTGTTGATATAGTTACAGACTTCAAGCTAGCCCACTTGTTTTTCTCATGTTGAGATCCAGCTGCTTCAAAAATTGGACAACCCAATATCAAGTATAAAATCAGCAAGCTAAAAGCCGATAGCAAACCCCACAATACAAAGTTCAACGTTAGGGTGGTATTGGGTATGCGACATAGGACAAGTGGGAGTAAGGAGACAACAACACCCCACAAATGAGTGACCAAAACCTTCCTAGCCGAATTCAACCATTTCCACGATTTGTGTCTTACATCAACTTCTGAGGCGGATGGGATTTGCGGAGTGGAATTACTAGCATTGGCATGGAGATAAGCTGCAAGTATTGGAAGTGGCGCAACAAGTAATGCAAATGGAATCATGTAAACTCCAACCGACACAAACTTACTAGGAGATGTCAAGAGGTATAAAAAAAACGACTGGTGAAACTTCTCGAGAAGGTTGTTTATTGACCTAATGACTCCTTCAATTAACCTGCAATATGTACAAAACATTTTGGTCACAGTGATGAAACTAAGAGAAAGATCCTCTGATTATATGCTTTATAACATTCATAAGCTGTAACACATACCTTCCACCACGAAGTATGAATTCATCACGCCTGATCACTTTAGTAAGAGAAACTTTAGGTGAAATTTCAAGAGTGATTGCATCAACTTGGTAATCACGGAAGGCACCATGAGGACCGGTGGGAACACCCAAACCCTAAGAGGAATAATATACAGATAAAGAACAATATAAAGTGGTCACGGGGAATATTATAATATACATATTTTAAGAGGATAAAAATAAATAAATAAACCACCTGATAATACAATGAACTTGCCAGTGTAGCAGCACCCTCAACATACTCAGTAGCAGGAATACCAAACTTCCACTGAGGATTTAAGCTTCTAGCAATTTTTCCCAAGGATTCAAATATAACACCCAGGGCATTGAGCCACCTGGAGTCAAGCAGAGACCACATCTTCTTCACTTTTATCCGCAATCCTTGTTTATGCACTGCCAGATAATTTACGATATTGATAAGGTCAAGGTTTGGCATCTGGCCGTTGGAAGCCTCTGCATAAATATTAAGACTGTCTTCATACTGGTTACCTTGCTCTGCAACTTTAATTACAAGAGCTGCAGCCATAGTTCCTGCACGTCTAAAATCACTGTTTAACTTTCCATCCAAATAAAGACCTTGTCCAAGTTCATTAAAAGTGGTGCTCGCATTACATGTCTCACGATTAATTTCATCAACTCTGTGGAAAACTGGGGCCTGATATTCTCTTAACCAAGCAGCCACTGCAGGATATTCTCCATATTGTGAATCAGCCACAAGCCATACAATATCCTTAGCCAGCCAAGTAACATGCGACAGCAGCGAGAACACTGAGTAAGCAATGCCCAAGGACACAGCCTCGCCCAAGCCAACTTTATTTGGATTGTAAGGTGTCACCAAGACAATGGCTTCCTTTCCATCCCCACGTGGTGCCCTAATAATTCCAATAGTGTTGATTCCAAATGAAGAACAAGTTCCATTTTCTGCAATTAAACCTGAATCAGAACTGGTAAAGAAGTGTGGTGGATGGAACTGACTGAATTGAGGATAAAACTTGTGGAAAGTAACTTCAGCATCCAAGGCTGACATATACTGAGCAATAAGCTTTTGGCTCTCACTGCATTGAGACACAACAAATATATTATTTCTTTATTTCCTGTGAAGTTGTATAAAGTCTCTTATTACAATAATAGGATGAAGGAGTTACATAGGTGAGGTCGTAGATCTGAACTCCAGATCAGTTAAGTCCTTGATGAATTTACTTGCATCTGAGACCTGGTGAGTAGAGAGCATGTTGTTTGCAGATCCTGCAGAATCAGGTAAAAATTAGAATTAGCTAATTGAAGAGTAAAAGGTATGTTGTGTGTCTGGTTCTTTTTGGCCAAATGCCCATTTGAGGCTGCACAAATGGAAAAATAAACAAGCATGTGGTAAATTGAAAACAGAAATGACCTGGCATGAGGGCATTCTCAGAAATGTAGGTGTTCTTAGCGAGGACAGGGAGAAGGAGAAGAGCCAGCACCCCCGCCAGGAAACAAATCAAACTGGAAAGAGCAAAGTTTTAACCACATTCAAATCACTCAACATAATAATTATGATAATAATAGTTATAATAATAATAAGAAGAATGTTAGCCAGTGTCCTTAGAGCATTGATTAAAAAATCAAAACCAGAATTAAAAATGTTGTTAATGCACCTCCTGCATCATTTCCAATGCATCCCATCATGATTTCCAGTAAAAAAAAATCAATTATTGATTTGTTAATAGTTATCCTCATAATAATAATAGTAGTATTAGTAGCAGGAGCAGTAATACCTGACAATGTTGCTATGAGAGATGAGAAAGATCCCAATGCGTACAATTGGGCGTACTCTTGGTTTTGCACTACTGTTCTCATTGGCACCCATGTCTTCCTCCTCTTCTGATCCACAAAACACAACTAGAGCAGTCAATTAAAACCTTGTCTATAGTTAAAGGATACACACAAATCTATATTCAAGATTAGAGTGATTCTTTCTCCGCAGTTAAGAATATGGCTTCAATTCATCATTTTTAGCTATTGTTCTTAATTCTCCTTGTGTGAGTGAATTGGCTTGCACTTGTTTGAATCCTTAGATACATCAGAGGATCACGTAGAAATGAACTTGTTTATACTGTCAGAGGACATATTAACATTTTTAGATAGTAGACTGGGCAGGAGATAGACAATCCACCTCAAGCTATTGTATTTTTATGAGTGGAAATTTTATCTCATGAGAGTATAAAATGTAGTGTTTTGTTGCCATGTCAAGTAAAATACTTGTGGATTGTGCCATGACCCCCAACATATGAGAATTCTTAAGGCTAAAACACTTCAGGAGTTTCAATTCCGCAAGGTTGGTCGTATGGAGCTCATGTGCCTTAATCAATCATCTTTGTATCTCTCTTCTAATTCAATTTTGATTAGAGAATAGGACAAATAGAAGTCGATTGCCATTTTCTCAGAGAAAAGATTCCCTTGGACATCATCAAAGCTTTCTCTACATTTTTAAAAATTAGCAAGCTGACATTTTTAAAAATTTGCTAGCTGATATTTTTACTAAATATTTGTGGTGGGATCCTACAATAACATCTAATGTGACAAGTTAAACGCACTAGCTTGAGGGAAGCTGTATACTGTTGAATTATTCTACATATCCTAAACTTATTTTCTGCACTATTATCATGGAAACGCAACACGCATTATTCACTATTTTCAGCATCAATTTAATCAATGGAATGATTTGTGTTTTCTTTTCTAGTTCATAGTTGACTCATGGATTAGCATCCCCTAACCCACATAATTTAGGGCTAAATCGATTTGTTCTTTTACTAAGTGAGAGGTCAGTGCTACACACGGTTGCCTCATAGGCCATAACCCCTATGGGCAACTTTGCATAAAAGGAGGCAACAAATCTGAGAGATAGCAACACACAAACAAATAGATGCCAATTTGATTCAAAAATAGAACAAATGACAACATCACAGTCAACTTCAGCTAAAACAAAGGATAAAGCAATTGTGGCAATTCGAACAAAAACTAAGTCGAGAGAGAAAGAGAACCTGAGAGAGAAGGAACCACACACGACGATGTCAGACACAATGGCGGTTAGTCGCAGCAGCAATTGGACGGAGGGGCCAAGAGTGAGAGCGTGATGCCTTCAAACTGGAAAGAGAGAACAAACAAATACACACCTTAATCAAAAGGACAAGAGTTAGCGGCGGCGACGACGACCGGAGGAGGACGGAGGAGCCGAGATCGGTGGACGGTCATGGCAGTTGCCCTGAGAAACACTACTTCGGAGATTGGAGATCCAAGGGCACCCTAATTTAGTAATTAATATTTTTTAGTTGTAATCATTAATATATATATATATATATTAACTCATGGGTTTAACTTTTTTTTACTTGTCTACTTCTGACATGAATTGAAGAACAAAAATTACAAAATTTCTATTTGTAATATTTTTATTTCATACTTTTCAAATTTATTTATGTAAAAATACAGTTATTCAAAATTTATATTTAGAAATATAAAAACTAATTTTTTAAATTCAATTTTACAATATTTCGAAAACTAAATTATGAAACTTTACAAAATTATTTATATTCTAGAATTTTGTATTTATAATATTTAATATTTAACCCGTCACAAAATTTATTTAAAATTACGATAACAATTTTGAAAATTAAATTCTAAATCTAGCTATCATGCAATTTATTTATTTATTATCAATTGAAATCTTGATAAATAAAAATAAAAGAATAGGTATTAGTGGATAAAAAAGAAAAAGCAAAATCCTAATATAATATAAAATATAAAATAAATATAAAACAGTTCAAATATAAGTGAAATATTGATTAAATACAAATTATCGTTTTCTATCAAGCACTTGCTACTAATAATATGAACATATTCCAATATTCACAATTTCATAAACAGCACCAACAATCTAAGGGATTTTTTTCTATTGTATATTAAAAATGTATTTTAAAAATTTTCTCTGTTTTTTTTCTCTTCAGTTGAAATTATAATATATTATTTATTACGTGATAACATTATATTGATAATTTTTTTATTATTTATTAAATAATTGTCAAAATATTTTAGCAAAGGAATTAAGCATGTTGTGTTGTTTCAAACATTTTCAGGTCACTTATAAGTTATAGATAAATTCTTTGTATTATTCTTCAATATTTTTCTAATCCCTCTTCAAATATAAGTTAAAATGAAATGAAATGTTTACAAAGTTTACGCATAAATTAATCTTGAAGATGATTTGTTATGCCAAATACCAATCATCTTTGTGATACCAAATTATAAAATATTCTATTGCTTTTCATGGAATAACTTAAAGTTATATTCAAGAAAAAAAATGATATTAATTGGATAAAGATAAATGAACTTTATCATCACTTTATTACATAGGGAAAAACTATAAAAACAGATTATCAAACATGTGACAACATCCATCACCTCCGGGGTTAGAATGCATACTGAACAGTGGAGACTCTTGAAGAACCTAGCCATGGAACTTGAATTTTGATCATGAACCCTTCATATTCAAAATCAACTTCTATACCATCAATTTTGCAAGTGCTTGGTTTCTCTGAGGCATAGGCCCTCATCTCCCCAGTGCCTCTTACTCCAACTTCCACCAAACCTTGAGTCTCATGAAAAGTCAAGGACTGGACTGCTCCACCAGTGTTTAGCATGTCCACCAAACCAATAGGAGCAAACTTCACATACTTACCAGGCAAGACAGTCACAGGGGAAACTGTTATAAGCTCAAAGTTGAATGGTTCCAAGGAAATTTCTTCACTGTTAAAAGGTGTTGAGAGGATGAGTTTGTTGGTTTGACTGTAATACAAGGCGAAAAGTTCCACCCCTTCAATGGGAATAGGGTTCTTCCCACTGTCCCACTCAATGTCTTTTGGATTGGTCTTGGTTGATACCCTTTGAGACGACTCATCATCACGTTTGTTGACATCATATTTGTCGAACCAGCCTCCTGTCTGACAGTTAAAAATCCCAAGAACTCCAGTATACTGCACGAAGAAGCAAAATCACAACATTGTTATAGGATCTACCCCCACCTGATCATTTCTTTCAGTAGTTTAAGACAACATCAAAAAAAGTAAAAGTTGGGTTTCTCTTGATGTGCAAAACACTTTTTTCCCTTTGACCCTATATAGACATGAAATCATGTATATGTGACTGGAATTTGGAAAGGAAGATGTAAGACGGGGTAATTGACCTTGTTGAGGTTCCATATTTTAAATTTGAGCATTGTTTTGGCATCATGGAGAGGGTCAGAAAAGAGACAGTCTCTGGTTGGGAGAGCATAGTTCTCACATCTGAGGATGGATCCATCAGGCAAAACTAGGGTCTTGAGCAGCTCAAAGTTGTGGTTCCCAACTCTGTCACTTATGTAAATGGGGCCACCAGATATGGCTCTTGAAGCTGCATGAAATGCAGCACGAGGGTGAGTAGATTGGAACATGTCCCAGTCTGGGTGGATGAATCTCCCCATCCACAAACTCATATTTGCACAGTGCACCATGTGATAACCTTGCAGCCCAAATACCTCGTTTGACTCATCAGTGTTGGAGTTATCCTCTTCTTTGAATCCAAAGCCATGCATCCACAATAAGTTAATTACAGGTAATATGTTTATAATGTTTTTAGCTTCATTTAGATAAGCTTTTCATAGCGAAAAAAAGGTTAAAATATTGTTTTTAGTTATTTATGTTTAACATATGTAATACAATATTAATATATCTAAATCAAGAAATATAAAGTCTTAAGAAGAATAAATGTTAATATTTTGTCTTTTTAAATGAATTTAAAACTTTGTTTTTTATTATTGGAAGGCATAGGTGAGAGACAAACCGAGACGAGCAAGGGATATTGCTTCACTTCCGACCAACAAGAAAAAGTTGTCGCAGTACTCGACACTTCCAATTACACCATTGCCATTGAAATGTTGTTTCAGAGAAGCTGTTAGAGCTCTGTAATAAGCTTTCGCCGCTTCCACTTCCCCGCCATTGAATTCACACGTGGCCAACTGTTTTTCCAATTCAAATATCCATGCAAGCAAAGCCAAAAGAACAAGAAGGAGTACGCTGATATTAAAAAATATAACATATATACAAGTAAATGCTTTTCAAAGAACCAAAAACTAGGAATGGTATAAATTATCAATATTTTTTTATTATTTATTTATTTATTTATTTTTATTCTCTACTTCTTATCAATTAACCATTTTTTAATACATGTTTGGATTAGGATTTCCATTATTCGTGATTAAAAAGAAATGGTCATAATTAAGAATCAAAACTAATATTTATTATTGGTTTGTTCAAATCTTGTAGTAGTAATTAATAAAAAAATCATATGCACATCAAAATTAGATTAATAATTAAATTATTAATGTATTTGAACCCTTTTAATTAAATTTATCAATTTAAAATAATTTTATATATATAGAAAAAAACATTATCCTTCTTATATACCAAGTCAACCTACCCCTAATGGTAAAAACTAAGATTTCATAGTAGCCATAGTTGAAATTAACCCTTTTGTCATCGCATGTTTTATTCTCTTGGTCGACTATTGGGAAACGTGCTTCTGTCACCTCATCATTGAATTGATGTATTGGAATTCAATTTTAAGTTGAAATATGTAAAGTAGAAAAATGAAAAATTGGATAACATATTTTAAGCAGTATAATATTGTTTTTGTATATTTCCTATTAATAAAACTCCTTC